CTTTGAAGAGTTTGCACAATACAAAAACCTGTCGACTATTTGAGTCCAAGTTCCAAAACCCAGAACTGTTTCTGGTCTGGTAGAGTTCATTGACGTATAAATAGAGCCTATAGGATATAATGTTTGAAGCATTTCTGTCTTTAATGTTTGAAGCTCTGTTTTGTCTGCTTTCTTGTCATATAAATCTTGAGCAGTGAATTTAATATTATGTTCATCCTTCATGACATAAACATCTTTACATCTAATGTTTCTCATCGTCGTTATGTCGTCATCCGATGTTAAACCTTGTGGAAAGTTAGGAGGTTTACAATATAATACATCCCCACCATTTCTTCAACCGTTCCTTCAATACTTTCTATAGCAACAGTTGTAAAACTTGTATGTGTATGGTTCTTATCTGCTTTCTTCTCTAACTCATCGTTAACATAAGTTTTATCTGCTTTAAGGTCTAAACATCCTGAAACCATCCTGTATCGGCTTTAGTTTTTAAAATCTTCGATGTCCGTTCATGGTACCAGTCAACCCTTTCTATAATTTCTTTATCTTTTTCATCCACATATTCCTTATCCGCCTTCTTCACTAACACACTAGCCATAAGTCCCTTATCTACCTTATTTTCAAGGCTAACGTTTAAGTCTGTTATTTCAGATATAGAATGTGTATGAGTCTTTTTAGAATATTCGTTTTTCAGCTCTTGTCACTTCACTTGACATTTTATTGTCAACATATGTTTTGTCTGCTAGTTCAGGATGAGTATGTTCTTTTGTTGCATAAGCATTGTTAGCTCTTTCTTCTTCTTTTGCTATTGCATCGTCTACATATTCTTTGTCAGCTTTGTTGTCAACATCTGCTTTCAAAAGAAGTTCATTTATAGGTTTCTCGTTTTAAAGTTCCTTTTGTTGGATTTATACAGACAGTATTTGTTCTTATTGTCTTGAAATAGAAACTCATCTGTTAAAGGGTTTAATGTCAGTTTTAAGTTTCCTTCTTTCAATGACTCAGATATCTTAGAATAGTTTGAAAAGTTTGTTGTGTTCTTATTTAGAGCTTGCATAATGAGTTGTCGGTTGTGTTGTATTTCTCTCATGGAAGCAATATCTTTCGACATTTTTATTCTAGATAAAATATGCTTCCAATAGAAAAAGAAAATTCAAGAGTTGCTACAACTAAACCATTAGATGAACTTTTTACTAATGTCGGTCAAAAGTTTGAGACAGAGACCGTAAAGCATGAAGGCTATCGTTTTGACTACCCATTAAGATGGCTAAGAGACCCATCTGTCACAAAAGCTATTGGCTTTCGTAGAATGAAGTTTGTGTCTGTAGAAGATAAAAGTTTTCCATTTTATTGTAAGGTTTCATATAGATTATATATCTGAAGGGAAACGAAAAATGTGGGAAGAAATTGAGCTAATACAAGTTGACCTTTCATCTTCTCTACAGACTGCGTTAAAAAATATAGAAGATAAAATAAATTCATGTTATGCAAAATATGCTGATGAATATGCAAATACCGAGAGCACACTTTATGTGAGAATTGTATATGACAAACAAAATTCACAAGTGTCATTTCAAATCTACGAAAACAATCCAAATAAAGACGAACAAATATATACAGAATTCACTGCAATGTCATGGTATTATTTGCAAAGAATGTTAAATCAGAAAGTCGAACTTCCTTTAGCAAATATTTACAGTCGATATGCAAGAGATGAACCATATTTATTTAAAGATGTTTTCGACCCAGCTGCTATTATTGTTCATGCTTCATTTTCTGGCGCCCAAAACTCTTTCTTATGCTTGGCAAATGACTTTTACGAAAAACCTACAAAGTTATACGAACCACCAAGTGGAAGTATTTCAGACTTTCAAGTATGGTTTACTACAGATGGAAGAAAAAGAATAATTCCATTATACCATGCGTTTTACTTAGAACTTAGTTTCATATACAACTACTATCGAACCGTAAAAATATAATTTTTTAATACGGTTGAGGTGTTGGATTTGGTTGCCAACTAACTGTGGTGCAGGTTCAGGCTGTTGTATAACAGGAGCTTGCTCTTCTGGTTCAGGGTCTTTAGGTATAATACCAAACGACTGACCTACCCTTTTACCAATATTTTTGACACCGTTCCAAATTCCTCTTCCTACGGTTTTATTCCATTCCATATACCTCTTCCAACATTTCGAAAGAAGTTTCCAATACTACTGAAGAAACCCATTTTACTATATGTAAAAATCTAATGTCCGCCTAGTCTTTTGCGTTTCCTGTTGAGTTCCATAGCATTCTTTAACTGGAGCTCATACATTCTGTTTCTCCTCTGGTAGAAAACATATTCTGGGTCAACTCCTGTGTTCGCGTCATCTGCATAAAGTTGTTTATAATCCCACTTCAGGGTTTGTATAAAACTCTTTCCATCTCATATTTGCATACCATGGTGGCAAACCTAACGCAGCGTCATTTGACATGGCAGTTTGCATTTGTACATCTGTTGGCACTTGACCATAGTTTTGCCATTGCAGTTTGTATTCTAACTTCATTTGGAATATTCTCTGGGTTTGGTTGTCCAGGTTGCTGTGCATTCGCTAAGTTCTGTGCGTCCATTTAATATTAGATAAAAATATCTCTTACGAGTACATATACTGAACATTTGCAGGCATTGTTCATCTTCATATTCTCTGTACTTTTCTGCCACGTCAAAGAAATAAATGACACAATGGAAAAAACCTAAAACAAGTAGTCCGATTTCAAACCACATTTACTTACTAATAAAATTTCTTTTTGTGACACTTCTCCAGTTTATAGACCTCTCTCATATTCTATCTTGTCATAATATAAACTCATAGTCATGTATGTCCTCTAACCATCTCATAACGGTTTAAACCCACTTTTATCGGATGTAAAGTAAAAGCTGGATGGTTATGTAAAACGTCTAAAGTTTCTAAAGAGTCTCTCAAAGTCCAGTCTACTTGGTATTGAAAATCCCATGTGTTATAGAACGGCGGGTCCACTATAAAGAAAACATTTTCCTTTCTTCTATTATTTTTCATACAAATCTGTCCAATGACATCTCACAAACTCTATACCCTCAATATATTTTTCTATGTCCCTCTTTGAAAACATTTGTATAGTTAAGATATAAAACTTTTGACATAAGTGTTTCAATGTCATGAACTCTTATAGCACCACTATATAATAGTCTAGCAGATATACTATCCCAGTCTATATATTCTGCTTTTTTTCAAAACCTCTCTCACAATATTTTTTCTTATCTAATGGTATACTTTCCATCTTACCTATAGGTATCTTTTCTTTTAACTCTTTCAATATATTGTTTTGTGTCTGGAATATGTTTGAGACGGTCCATATAGTTGTCGAAGTCATTGCATATAATCTTTGAGTCTGGGAATATATTATATGCACAAATGGAATATATAGAAACTTCCACCGAACAAATCTACAAATGTTAGACCATTCGGTAGTTTCTTAAGTTCTCTCAATATAATATCTTTACATTTTACTCTTATTTCAAAGAACGGTAACGGAGGTTTTGTAAAATTCATTTATATATAATAATAAAAATGTTTTTACCCGAAAAGTGACAGAAAAGTGACAAAACATGAAAACATATATAATTTGTGAAAAGTGAAACATTATATAATGTTTTCGACCCAGAAGAAGGCTTCTTCCCAGAAGCAATGGAGGAAGAAGAAGAGTCCTCCGAATATAAACTTCATTTATACTAAACATCTTCAGGGCTAGAGGGCACGAAGTGCCTGGAAGCCCCACTACCTTTTTTTTTTTTTTTTTTTTTTTTGTGTTTTGTTGTTGCGTGTTGGATGCGGGATCCTGTTATTTCCGAAATCGACAAAAAATTTGGAAATTTAATTTCCGAAATCGAAATTATATTAATGTTTTTAATATTCTTATATCAAAAGGATTAAAGTTCATTAAGAGAAAAACAATTCTTCTTCTTCAATCTATTGGCGCATTTATTTCTACACGCCAATAAGGAAGGGAAAATTATAAGACAGCATGGTGCCTTCAAAACGCTAATTTTTGATATTTTTAACAACCCTATAATTTTAAAATTAATTTGGGAGCAGGTTTCATCTTGACACACTGCCACTTTTTACATGCTTTGTCAGCTTCTATCTTCGCTGGTTCCATATATAATATTATTTTCTTGCTATAATCTTATATCAGAAGGCAGCCCAAATATTAATTTCACCTTAAAAAGAATTCAAATTTTTACTAACTGTGTTGAAAAATATAAATATTTGACTTTAAATCACAACAAAGCGGTCAAAATTCAGGGTATCAAAGATGGATTATATCCTGAATATTTAGATCAGTTAATTCCTATGCATTTAACATACGAAATCCTCCAGACGGAAACTTCTTTGGTTTTTTTAAAGAACTCCGACAAAATTCAATACAGCAAATATTATTCAAACCTTAGATACGTTCCTAGATATGCAACAAATCAAACTAAAGATTTTGTGAATAATTTCAAAGGAAAAATCGCTATCTACAAAAATGCTTATGCGAATGAATTTGGGGAGTTTGCTATAGACAATCATATAATTAGACCTCCATTTGATTCAGCACCAATTGGAATTCGCGCTTATGGAGATGGTCCTGTTGTTTTGGACTGTGATAAAGCATGTGTATTTGGACATACTTGGATGTATAATTTTGGTCATTTTATCCATGATTATTTATCTCCTTTGATGATAGTTCCAAGTGATTTCTTAGAAGAATGTGTTGTCATCTTATCAGAACAAACAAGAAAATTTGGTGAAGATGTTCTTAAAGCAGTTGGTGTTCGTCGTTATATCTATCTTACACATAACGAATGGGTCCATGCTGATCTTCTCGCTGTTGCCATTGAAGGTCGCCACATCTTATGCACTTTGGTGTTCCTCTGCAAAAACTTGTTGATCATTTGAAAATTTATTTTCGAACATTAGACATAAAACCAACCAAATATGTTATTATTGAATCGAGCTCTTTCGATTAGAAGACATATTAATAATATTAAGGATCTCATCACAGCTGTTCGAAGTAATATAAAGGAAGTAGAATTCGAGGAAATTGAAGATCGACTTGGATCAATTGAATCATATGCAAAGTTTTATCCATCGATCAAGTGTGTTTTCCTTCCAACAGGAAGCAATGCAGTTAAAACAATTTTCATGCATCCAAACACAGTTGTTATTATTGCAAGCAATGAGATGTTTGACTATGCAGTTGTTTATTCCATTCTTTCTGTTCACATCAAAGTTATTTATTTCATTCATCTTTATAATCACCATGATAGTTTTAATGTTGACATTCCTCTTTCTATTGAAGCTATCAAAGTTGGTGTTGAAACATCAATTACAGGACATTTTCCTAAACCAACACCAAACATCTCATTTATTGATTATATTCACTAGTTTTCAAATCATATATTATTGTTTTATTAATAAAGTATAGAATACAGACTTATTTTAGTTAATGTATACCAACATTTATTCATATCCATAAAAGTTATAAAAAATTCTATCAAATGTTGATTAAAATGAAAGAGAATAGTTTTGGAAAAAGATAAATACCTTAAATAAAAATGTTTAATTGATACAAGATCCTTTGTCTGTAAATTTATATGAATCATCATGAAGATTAATATTTTTGAAGAGTATTTGCACTTGTGTCATGCCACACAAAGAGAATAATGCATACATTTTATATCAATATATACTAACATGGACTTTGAATGGATCTGAGAACAAATTTTACATATTGAACATCATAACATCGAATATGATGTGTGTTTTAATTCAACAACACATGAGCTCATGCTTCAAAGCTCGTTTATTCATCAAATCGCATAATTTTATTTTAATATTTCTTAAAAATCAACTTTTTAGGGATTATATTTAATAAATTTTAAAGGTTTTCCAATCATTAATATAAGTTCGCATTTCTTGTATCAATAACAGTTGAATTAGCATTGAAAAAGCAACATTCAATATGAAGCCGATTTCTGGCTTAGTCGAATTGCCAGAGAAAGGCCAGCTTCAGAAGCGTATTAACTTTCTTAGCGAGAACAGTGCCGGTTTAGGACCCGCTGATCTTCTTATTTTAACAAAAAAGTCATCACAAGGAAATATTATTACTTATTCTTACTTTTCTGGTTTATCTTTCCGAAAAGAAAGCGATATTAAAGATTTTGTAACTAATCTAAAGTCGAGAAGACCACATAAACTTCTCAGACAACTTCAATATGAATTAACAAAAGTTGATTTATGTATTTGGAATCCATTTTCAAAGACTGACTTCCGAATTCAAGTAGACGATAAGAAAAACGTTACAATAAACTGCTATAATGCTTCAAACGAACATATTGATTTTAATCAGCAACTGTTTGATGAAATAACGATTGCATCAACACTCAGATACTGGATACCATATGACCAACTCTACAGATCGATATTTAACTTACCTTATACCGATTCATATCCTCTTAACGTTCAAACACCGAAACTTCTTACAAATGATGAACTCACATATATTTCAGACAATCTCAATTCATCAGCCGATTTAGATTTTGCGTTAGCTGCCTTTTTACTTGCTAATTTCAACTCAAATGATTTTATCAACACCGTTAATGTACTAAAAACCAAATTCCCAGGTGTAATTGCCTCTATATTACGATTTATACCCCTTTCATCACCATTAGCCGACAAATTATACGACTTTTTGCTTCATTCTTTTTCAAAATACCCAGACAACCCATTAATCATCAAAACTGTCATCGAAATGGCCTCAATGAAGAAAGACAAGCAGATCACCCACCAGATCACGTCGGTTATTAAGAACACATCATGGTCAAATCCAACAACTTGCATTTCCTTCGCGAAAACATATATATGTCTCAAGAAATTCGAAGAGGCCAAGGTCATTACAAACGGTACATTCTATTGCCGTGAATACCAAGAGCCACAAAACTTAAAATTTAATCCTGAATTGCCGGAATCGCCTTCTAACAGCGCACCGAGGTCTGTTCCTAGATCTATAGAAAAGGAAATCATAGAATCGCAGCTGGATATGACTTCAGACTTGATTTATCATGTTGTATTTGAATTAAGAGAAAGTTACGGAGTAATGAGACTCAAAGACGCAAAGAACTATCCACAACCAAAGAATGGAATCATAAAGGATCAGAATTACCAAGGAAATACAAATCTTTCCATTGAATCTTCAAATAATGACGAAGATTTAGATAATTTGTTCGATCCGGGCGTTAGTTCTTTCCCATCTGTACCAACAATATTCTACAGACTGCCGTTCTCCTCTTATTTCTTCGATGTTCTCGAAGTTATCGATCATGAATCAGATGAAGTATCGAAATTGAAGCGCAATGGCTCTGTTTCGTCTCAGCAGGATGCAAGACGTGCAGCTGTGCTGGCGCTAAAGACAGGAGACCAGGAAACTCTCAGAATTGCACTTAATTTCTTCGAGTCAAAGAAGAGATACAGACCAGTTCACTTTTTGATACAAATGGCCGTTTTCGCAAGAAATGGCGGAGATGTCCCCGTTTATAAGGATCCAAAACTCAGATGGACTCTCGCTGAGAGAAACGCGCTTGATGTTATAGTTCCGATATCACAGAACCTTCCTTCTTTATTGTCTAGATAAAATAATTTATTTTTCGTGTTTTGAATAAATCAAAATCTATAGTTTTTAAAAAATTACAAAAATACACTAATTTATTGTTAAACATTAATAAAAATTCATCTGTTCTGATCAAATGAGATCTTATTTCTTCATAATGATAGTAATAATTTTAAATCAACATTAATTTAACTCTTTTAAGCCAATTTTGCTAAAGGAATTAATACATTTTGAACAGGTTTATAAAACTAGACACTAAGAAACGATGTTAATAAATTAAACTTCATATTTGTGATGAAATAGGTTTATAAGTATCATATATTTTTGAATAATAGGTAAAACCCTAATCAGATTATTCATTTATAGATTGCTGTTGATATTGTTACTCATATCTGAAACAAATTAATATCTGTTATATTTATTCTTGCTATCTCAATAGATTTAATGAAAGCTTACAGATCAAATTCAGCTATATAGCAATATTTGTTTAATGCTATCTACTATTTACCTGTAATATTTTTAGTTTCATCATATTTCTTTTGAGAAAAAGCAAGAAACCATGCAATCTCTTGCAGAACTAATTTAAAACTAATTTGATATAAAAACAACTGCTGAAAGCATATATTTATTGTTTATCATCTTTTAAGTAAGTAATGATATAAGAAATATGACTTTAATTCCCAATAAAATTGCAAAGTGATTTGTTGCGCTGCTAAAAATCAAAGGAGATATGGTACTTGATCGTGATAATTCTTACCGATATTTTATTAAGTTAAGAGTTAAGTTAAATCTATGATAAATCGAAATATTTAAGTGAATTATATACAAAGAAAGAATAAGAGTTTAAAACAGAAAGAAAAAAATAAAACAAATAAAAAATTACAATTAGTCGGATCTATTATCACGGATAGCGTTTGGATTTCCTTGGACAATCTGTAAAACAGCCTTAAGGATATCGTAGAACCAGCAGCAGTGGCAGAAGAACAAAACCCATAAGAAGTAAGCGACACCTCTGTAGAGGACTGGGTAGATGATGCCTTCGCGGTACTGGTTCTTCCATGCAGCATTAGCAACTAATGGGTAGTTGATCATTCTGAACCATGTGCAGAGGATAGCGAAAGAAACAAGGGTGAAATCTTTGATCTTGATGTAACCGAGGTAAGCGCAGATCTTTCCAGTGTACAATGGGACATCAACAACGTCGTGGAGGATCATGATTATAACACAAACAACTGGAGCCTGGAGAATGATAGAGCCGAATACGAGGGATAATGTGGCAACATGGTGGATTGCAATTAAAGCAATTCCTGTGTTAGCACCGATATATGCCACATCAACGATGTAGTAGCAGAAGAAGATAAGAACGTAGATCTTTTCCATGACTGTGACCTGGAAAGCTTCTTCTGTTGGCATGTAGAAATCAGCACAGTCATAAGACCAGAACATGCATTTGGCGTATGGTCTGCTAAGAACAGCGATGAGACCAATGATTGCAGAGGATGAGTAGTGAAGGAGATCGAAGCATCTGTTGGAGAACTTATATAATCTCTTTGGGTCTACTTTTGCCAAACGGCCTAATGTTGCGAAAACTTTGTTAACGAGGAACCATCTGAAAACAGAATATGCAGTAATAAGACCAAGGAAGAATGGTATATCTGCTCTGGTGATGGATGTGAGCTGGTTGAGTATTGACATCAAGAAGTAAAATAAGACTTTTTCTATATGAATGGCGGTTGATTCTGAAACATTCTCTCAAAAATTTAAATGGACCATGACCAACTCTTATGATATTTTTAGTGAATTTGATAAATATTACAAATTTCATATATCGTTTATTTAAAAATTTTAGATCCAAATAATATGATCTAAATTCGCGTATTTGCGTTTACCGAACAGTAAATCTGGTGTGTGGGCATTATTACTAGCGCGATCGAAATTATTTTGTTGAAAAATTGAAAGTGATCGCATTCAATTGAATTGATTCGGGAACGATCGTATTAAAAGCCCAAAATTTTATTCATTTTATCGGTGGGAGATAAATGAATAGAGAAATTGGGAATTTCTCGCATATGTTCGTACATGAGCAAATACTATACCTTTTGCGAATAAAGAATTTTTTCATAAAAAAATTTTTTTAGGAATTAGCATATCGGCGTTTTGCGACATTGCCAAACGCCAGATTTTAACCCGACATATGAGCATAAGCTCGTATATTGGAATAAACTCGACTTATTCCATATTAAAGTTATTATAATAATAAGGCACTTAATGTGCAAATCTAATTGAATTAGAAAATGCACATTAAGTGCCTTTTATTGGAATATGTAATACCACATATGGAATACCGAAATCCGAGCATCAATTAGGAATGAACTAGTGCAAATTTTAGAAATACAGTATTATGTTAAATTCAGGATAAAAATTGTTAGAAATTTATATTTACAAATGAGTAAATAAGTATTTTGTAAAGTTTTCGTTTGATTTTCAAGCTTGTTGGAGAAAAATAATGAAAATAATTATTTATTTAAGCAATTTACACTAAAACTTTTTATGGAAATTGCAGTTCTAGCAATGTCTTAGAATTTAATTGTCATTTAAAGTGTGAAATGCATTGATTTGCTAGTGAATGTAAATCGGGAATACAAAATTAATATAAATGAACGAAAAATCTTCTAAGAACATCCTAAAATCAATCACCCTTTGAGTGGCTTTCATAATATATCTAGATGATAAACCAGAAATTGAACCCGCATATGGGTCCCATTAGGATAAATTGTAAACTATTCAAAAATAGTTTACAAAATTAATTTAGGTAATAATAAAATTTTTAATTGAGATAAATTAAAAAAAATCTTAGGAGAATGTTATGAATTTTCTTCATTGAACCATTCGATAAATGAGCATCTTTGCGAGCCATTTGTGTTCGAGAGTCTTGTACCATAAAGGTGGCATCTCAGCAGTTGAGCATCCCTTCAATGCATTGATATCTGTTGATGGAACAGAGTATGCGACTTCATCATTGATCATGATCCAATATGCACTTTTTTGCAAAAAGACCACGTAATGAAAATTGCAATAGGCAACAATTGCAATCAATTGATATCTTTGCCTTTCGACTGTTGGGAGTGTCAACTTTTTCGGGAAGTCAAAGATGACTTGATGAATCGAATCATTCTGCCACTCTCTCTGAATGTCGAAAGTCAAGAATTGTGGCCATGATGTGTTCCTTGTAGTTGACAAATGATATTGAATGGCATGATCGAGATCTGGTTCTCCAATTCTGGTGTGAATCGAGTAGCAATTTGTTTGTTCGTTGGCACTATCACGGTAAGTGATTCGGAAGAGTTGACCGATTCCTGGTATTTGCTCTGCGAGATCTGTGATCAATCTTGTCATCGTGTCATCACAATCTTGTGCCTCATATGTTGAGTTACCAAGTCATGTGGCAAGTTCATGGGGAACGAAGACTAATCCTTTGGACTTCAATGAATTCAAATTTGTAAAGATACTTGACATCTCTGTTACGATGGGAGAGGACTAATTGGCAACCTTCAAAACTTCTGTTCTCACTTCGGATATGTAGAACAGAACCTGTAAACATACGTTCAAATGACACGTATTTCCCATATTATGAAGACCAACAATACCACCTTTAATTGGGTAAAGGTAGTTCGCCTCTTGTGATGACTGTATGATATCGACAGCTTGATGAGCGACAGCAATGATGTTCCGCTTTGATGGTTTCATGGAGGGTGCAACAACAGCAGCGACAGTATCGCTTGAAGGAAGAACCTTTGTTGGTGTAAAATCTTCGAAAAGGAGTAACTCTTCATTATCATTCAGGGGTGATCCATCAATGTTATAATTTGTCAAACCGACTAAAGTTAGTATACCTATCTTGGGTATGGTGGCACTACACTCCACCCCACCCAAGATAACAGTTTGACACTTTACAAAACCGCCAACGTATATTTTACAACACAAACACAAACACCAACTTAGCCTTAAATATTTACAAAGCCGCCAACCACTTCACCTCACTAACGTTTTCGCTAACGACTTCACTAATGAAAAAATAAACGTTCTCACTAATGTTCTCATTTACAAAAGTATTGCAGCGCTTCCCATTGCTGTGCTTCACACAATAGTTCATATTCTTCAGTATCGCTGCTATCACTCCAATCGTCAGAGTCAAAGTCACTGTCAAAATAAATGTTAGTAAGTTTTGACAAAGCTAATGAAACCCGCTTACCGTTTGTATCTATTGCTTTTATATATCTCCCATTAGTTAGTATGGGTTAGTTGGGTACGGAGGCACTGCGCGCCTCCTTACCCATTATATGTGAATTTGACACTTTACAAAACCGCTAATGTATATTTTACAACATGAACGCAAAAACTAACTTAACCTTAAATATTTACAAAGCCGCCAACCATTTCACCTCACTAACGAACTCACTAATGAAAAAATAAACGTTCTCATAAATTTTCTTCTATATCTTCATCGTCAATGTTAACCCTATTGTAGTCATACTTGAAGTCATAAAGTTTCTCAAGTTTTGAAATGCATAGTCTTGTTAACTTACCTTCATCATCATAAGTTTTTATAAAACTACCATGACAATCTTTATAAACAGTCAGTGTATAGTCAACTGGTCTAGGATGAAGTGTAAAGAACATGTTATACTCAGGAAGGAAGAATAAATGTTTAAATGTATGTTTGTTATATGTTTTGATTTGTATGAGTTGCTTTTGTTCTGTCATTTATATAAAAATAAAATAAAAAATAAACTTAAAAATTAATGATATCACCACTTCCACACGTATGAAAACATAGCACAAAAATAAATTTAGGGTAGAAGGTTAGATCTAACCCGATAACTAACCCGATTTCTACCCTGTTGAATTCATTGCTTTATAACTCTCTTCCTTGGTTTCTTTTTAGTTGCTTTCTTAACATCTGTCTCCAGCTTGACTGCCTTTCTTCTTCGGCCGTAATGATACCAATTACTTCCACCAGTCAATGGGTCAAATGGTCTTTCGTAAGGGTTTCCATACATTCCATAGGGACCATATGGAAGAACTACTTGTGGAGAAGAAACATTTTCTTTAGTTCCATCGACTCTATTTAAATGCATTGTTTCACCTTTCATCTGGTCATTAAAGTCTTTTGCGTGTTTTGCAAACTCATCGTCCTTTCCTAAAGCATTTTCTGACTCAGTCGCAACCAAATTGGATGCTTTATTTATGAGCCCTATTTTATTTAATCTTAACTTCTTTGCAACCCAGCCTCCAATCTTCCCTTTATTTGCATCTAATGTCTTCGAAACCCTTCCTCCACTCATTTTATTTACTGCGTCATAAGCTCCAAGTGCTTTTGCTCCAAATGCTAATGCTTTTGTTCCCATTGCGCCTAAAGCTGCCCAAGCTACCATTTACACCATATTAAAATCATCTCTCTTCAATATTATCTCATAAAAGTTCTCGTTACTGGAGAAAGTCAATGAAACATAAACATTCTCACGGGCTTCGCCCTCACCGCTTTGCGGTCTATCTAACTTATTTCTTATATCATCTATACGCTTCAAAATGTCTGAACAATTGCTAACATCTTCTACAACAGTTATTTCATCATGAATGACCTTCAAGAACAAGCTCATTTAATATGCTATTAAAATCATCTCAATAATGAGTCCATCCTTTCCGTCTTTGGGTAGCACAACATCTTTCATTGAAGAAGGTTCGACAAGTCTTATGTTAAACTTACTGACAAAGTTTGTTATACTATAATGCTTCGGCGGCGAATACATATAGTTTGAAAGACATAATATAGATTCTTCAGCAAATTCACTTATACTGGATTTTATAACAATGTTCTCACGAGACCAAATACCACAATTGACAATCTTGTAAGCAATCCTGCTGAACCTTCTACTGTAAACGTCGATGGTAACATTCCACGAAGGTCATCTATTGACATCGTTGAGTCACTGTATTTAAATATTTTCTTAAAGCAATCGTCATTATCTAACCATGCAATAGCTTTGAAGTTTTCATTCGAATATACATCTGCTTCATTAAATGTAAAACCTGACTTCTTTGCAGAGATGACTTTAAAATCTATTGCATTTATTTCAAAATTATATGCTATGGTAACTTCTGAAGGTAATGGATGTCCTTCCGCAGTAAGTTGTTCTCTCACTACCGTTTGAAGCTTTGTGTTAAAAACTTTCATGTCATCTCCTGTGTCTAGGTTCACATACACAGCAACAGGAAAACTATCTTGCTTCTTTGTTTCATCATTATACCTCAAAACATTAAAGTTCTTCAATAATATTGTTCTTCCTGCTGGAATACTTCTAACTTGTCTTATTTCAATAGCTTTCTCACCTCCTATATACTCTACCCAGTGTCTTGGATATTCATAAGTATACTGACTTTCTTGAATTTTGGTAGGTTTCATCATAACGTGTTCATAGTATATCTTTATACTCTTGTCAGTTAGACTCGGTGCTATGTTCTGAATATTTCTGACTTGCATTTTTAATGGAGATAAAATGAAGCATTTAATACATGACGTAGATGAAGACATGAATGAAAGCAGTGAAAAGCTCAACAGTTCTCTCATTCTTCCTTTCAGTAAGGACTATGAGTTCTGTTCAAATGGTGTTTATTTCTATTGTGGAAAGATGGGTTCAGGTAAGACATTTAACCTCATTCGTCATATACTCATAACAGAGCGTTTAGGAAACGACTCTTACTATGACCAAATCATTATATCAGCAACTTCAGACTCTATGGATTCAACAGCGAAAACATTTATGTCAAAAGTTCAAGCCTCTGTCGTTAAAGTTCCAGACAGTGAACTCATTGAATTTCTTCAACGTTACATTCGACGTAAGAGGAAATATTATGCCATCGTTGAATTTATACAGTCAGGAATGCAAAAGACTTCTGAGGAGATGGAAAGAATTATTGACAAACACCACTTACGTCAATACTCAGGAGTTTACGATATGAAACGACTTACAAACTACATTCTGTCAAAACTTTCAAAATACCCCTTCAAAAAGTATCCTTCAAACACTCTGCTCGTTTGTGACGACTTCGCCGGAAAAGGTTTAGTGTCAAAACCAGACTCACCATTAGCTAACATCATTACTAAAGTCAGACATTACCACTTAACTGTAGCAATACTTATGCAAACATGGAGGTTTTTAGCTTTAAACATAAAACGTCTCATAACTGACTTCGTTATCTTTCAAGGTTTCTCACGTTATGATATTGAACTCATTTGGAAACAGTCAGGTATAACATTACCTTTTGAAGAAATTTGGGAAGCATATAAGTCTCTCATCTCTCCTCGTTCATACCTTGAGATTCATATCATGACTAATACCATTAAAGTCAAAAATATTCCATGGGAACGACCAACATTGTTTTAAAGTTTAATCTTCAATTGACTGATGGTAAACAAATTCCATGCATCTCTGTCGCCATTTCTGTTAATATTTTTGCTGTCATTCATATCATCCACTTCCCCATCCGTTAGCTTTTGAGGATATGCGTTAGAATAGCTGTTCTTAAATGAAGGCTTTTCACCTTTGAGAGCATAAACTCTATAACTTTCTGCATACTTTATGTTTGAACCTCCTGAGCCATCATTGACATAAATTTTTATAGGCTTCTACCCTTTGTTCATGTTCCTGCTTCTTCCCTTAGCTCTTTTGTTCAGTAGTTCTACATCTTTATACACAGCACCTGTCTCAGTGAATTCAACAATATTTTCATTCGTTAGCTTTACATTCAAACCCTTGTCGAGTATATTGTTCATTTCATACATATAAAAGGTTTTTATTCTATATGAAATGAGAAGCAAATCCATCTTAGCTGGTGCCGTTAATGTTCCAATTGAACCAACATCAAATGTTGGCTCACGAACGACAAACAATATTGTCATAAACAACTATAGTTCGGAGTGTTTGAAAGAAAAAGAACCAGAACTTAAGTCGGTGAATTTAAACTCAGCTTCAAACGCTAACGCTACATCAGATGTTAAGTTAGAGTATCCACCACTGGACCAAGTTCTTTCAAGAGAAACCAACGACAATCCTTACACAAATGTTCAAACAAATCCTTCAGATAACGTAGACCATTACCTTCTTCAGTTATACCAAACAATTTTACTCAAAGACGATAAGAAGCTTTTGACAAATCTTATAAGCAAGAACCAAATAATTCTAACAAAGGAGGATTTAGAAAATGTTATATCGCGAATAACAGGGAAACAATGTGTCATTGACTATCTCGACCCTGAAATCGAATGCTGTGGTCAAACGCCAATATTCATGAAAATAGGTAACATCCGCATCATTGAAACACCAGGAACTACAGGAGTTGAGTTTAAGTATAGATATTCGAACGAGTATACAAAACTATCTACTGACTATAAGCTTTGTTTGAAATATGTTTTAGTAAATTAAAGCAGTCAGGACCTTCGGTCTTGGCGCTTTGCGCCGTCAGTCAAAAAAATTTCAAGTTAGCAATTTGTAATATCTATCCAAAACTTCTTCAACAGTATCGAACTCATCTTCATAATGCAAACCTAATCTTATTGACTTGGTGCAGTTTTCACTAACACAATATTTTTCTGTTCTCTTGACTGACATAACTAACTCATTTGTTTCATCAAACAGCAACAACCAAAGTTCATGACCTAATACATAACATTCATACTTTATATTTTTAGCTCTGAGTTCTCTTGTAAGCCGTCGCATTTAATATTTTCTAAAAAATCAACTTCAACAGTCATTCGCACTGGTGCCTTCAGTTCTACAGGCTCTCCTTGAAAGTCAACAAGTCTGAATTGCATGTCTTTCAAATTATGAGGACTAATGCGAACCCATTTACCTAAATGAGTTGCTATGACAGGAACGTTTGGAATGAACATTGAATTTACTTCATAACAGAAAGACTTATATTCTACTGAACCTTTACTATTAACTCCTGAAATACCTGTGACATTAGCTATTTTTGACTCAATGTACAAACAATTGCCATAACATACGTATGGAACAGATTTCATCTCAATCGTTTTGTCAACACTTTTCAAAGGAAATGTCATATGGTATGCTCCCAGAAGCAATTGAACTCTATGACTCATTCTTGGTATCTTAAACTCTTTCTCGCTGCTGAACTTCAATGTTCCCTCAGAAGAGAGTTCGACATCTATGTTGTCAATAGTTTCTTCATTTATGAGAGTATCTATGACTCCAACAATTTTATCTATTCTATACTCTGCTCTGTTAGGAAATGTTATAAAACTTCTTTTGTCATCTATTTCAATCTCTATGAAATCTGTTTCATCTGTTATGACAAAAGTTGCGATAGTATTGAAGTCAACAACTCTGAAAGCAAGTGCTTCATTCTGAAGACCTAAGTTTGTTTGTAGCTTTACTATTCCGTATTCGTTTCGGTCTGTACTTTGTAAATAGAACAACATTTTATTCTCATTAAAATATGACTATTGCTGCATATGCGTATGAAACAAATGAAGCAAGAAGAGCACATGAACTAGTAAATGAAAACTCAACTTTAACAGTGGAAGGCAATGATTTAGTCATTGACGATGGAAAAACTAAAAAAGTCATTGATTTCGATACTTTTAACACTTATGACCCATTCATTACAACAAGCAAGGTTCCCATCATAAATGATGGAACGGTGCAATATATAAATTCAACAGTAGATGCCTCATTAGTGAAAGTACTGAATGTTCTCATTGAATTGTTAAAGAGCTTCCGATTTGACGACAACATTAAATGCTTAAAGAATTTAGTCATGAATGAGAAACAAATTCTCGGCGTTGCTGGTAGCAGTAATGATGTACACCTTATGACATTAGAATATTATAACAAACATAAAGATGAACTGAAAGGAGAGAAGGGTGACACTGGAGCTCAAGGACCACAAGGAATACAAGGACCTCAAGGCGAAAACGGTTTGGATGGTGAAGATGGAAAGGATGGAAAAACTGCTAAATCATGGATATGGAACCTTATAAATACTGGTTTAACAGCTGCTTCATATGGAGTTCTTCAATACCAAATCGGAAAGATATGGGCAGTACTTGGTGAAGAAGCTTTAGATGACGTCAAAGATGCTTTGAACTTCATTTCAAATGGTTCGGATACTATTAAAACTTTATCTGGTTGGATGCAAGAAACAAGGAGTCAAATAGATACTGTAAGACGTATAGCAAACAATGCACGTACGGGATTGGATACTTTACGAGAAGCACAAAATACACTAAAGGAAGCAAATGATATTCTTGGCTCAGTATCAGACATGCATGAAGATTGGCTTAAAGGTATTGACAAATCTTTAAAAAATCACAGTCAGTCTATTGCTGACTACAAGAAAAGTATAGATTTTTTACATAGTGCTATGGACGTACATGATGGAAGCATAAGGAACTTACTTAATGCTAACAATAACTTACCAGGAACTATTAAAGCATTTATAAAGTCCTTTGTAAAACCTGGTGCTCTAACATTTAGGTCTTTGAGAGCAAGAGCATTGAAGTCAAGAGATGCAGAAACTCCAACAGAACCTACAGAAGGAACTGAAACAACAGAAACTCCAGAAGAACCACCAAAACCAACAGCTAATGAAATATTGTTCGAATATTTTCCAAGGTACTCTGTTCTCATTGCATACATTCAAGAAATACTTAAGAAAGCAGACTTGACTTTAGGAGATGATGAAAGTTCTGTATATCTTTCGTTCCAGTTTCAAATAGCAGAACTTTTGAGACAGATATGCTTAATGTATGACAACATCTCTGATTTCACAAGATATGATGACGACCATGACCCAGAACACGGTGAAGAAGATGTTTTACAAACATCCATTAAGACAGGAAAAGTTTTAACACAAAGTCTCATTATTGACACCGAAGATGGTGAAGTGGATGTTCTTCAAGAGCTGAAGAAAAATACTTCTTCGGGAGGTGGTGGTAGGCATGAACTTGAAATAAATGAGATAGAAGAGAAATTAGCCGAAAAAGCAGATAAAAACCATGTTCATTATATAAGTTCAGATGAACAAATTATAACGGACTACCACGGATATTTAATACAGGATGAACAAATAAGCACTGAAGATGTTAATGAAAGAAGATATAAATACATTCGTGCTAAAGGTTATGACATACACTGTACTGTACAGTATGACACAGGTAAAGCACAAGAAGCATTTGGTTATAGCGATGAAATATATGCTTCGTATTTCTTTGTTAACGGTGTATTAGTTGAACCAAGATTTACATTGAGAGTTAAGACAAAAATAACTTTTGAAGATGCTATTAAAAGTAAAGCTGACAAAGATGAACTTGACGCAACGAACAAAGTTTTGAAATCTCATAAACACAATATCTCCGATATAAATGAACTTCAAGCTACATTAAATAGTAAAGCTGACAAGAACCATACACATGAATCCTTCACTACTGTTAGAGCAGACGACATAATATTGAACTATACCCTTGGTTCAAGTGCACCTTTAGAGAATCCAAGTACAAGCGTAAAAGATACACTAAACTCCTTAAATAGTAAATGTATGAACATTGAAGGTCATGTCAGAAACTTTGAAACATATAAACTACCAGCAATGTTAGATAAGAAAGCAGATAAAGAACATACACATAACTCCTTCTCAACTGTTGCTATAGAAAGTATTGAAGGAACGGTTGGCGGAACTGGTGGGGATGCATTATATTATAAACCTCCTAACTTTCCACAAGGTTTAACATCGAATGAAAACATAACAACGAAGAAAGAAATTAGCTGTAAAAATGTTTATGTCATGAATGATGAAAATAATGTTAAATTCACTGCTCAAGATTTATATGATAAGAAAGCAGACAAAACAGAGCTTCAAACATTAAAGACTGAAATACTTCAAACATTATATCCTATAGGCTCTATTTATACGTCAATGAACTCAACAAATCCAGCAAGTGTTTTAGGTTTTGGTACTTGGGAACAGATTGTAGACAAATTCTTATACTGTGCTAACTCTCCAAAGCAAACAGGAGGTTCGAAGAAAATTACTGAAGCAAACTTACCTGCACACACTCATACAGGAACTACAAACTTTTCTGGCGACCATAGACACTCATTAAGAGACCACCCATTATACAACTCAGACTATGAAGCTGGCAATGAAGTTTTATCTCCATCTTATAACAATTCAGCAAAAAAGACTTTTCGACCAACTGAACCAGGAGGAAATCATGTCCATACTTTCACAACAAATCCAACAGGCTCGGGTGAAGATTATATGCCACCATTTATGACGGTTTATGCATGGTACCGCGTTCAATGAACGCGCTTGAGCCTGCTTTGCAGGCTTACCGTCTTGAATAAAATCTTTAACTTTACATAAATGAGCTTGAAAGAAGTATTCGAACAACATCCATGGAGGTCATTTAAGAAGTTCAATGAAGCTGCAAAGAGTTGGGGATTTACTAACAGAGCTGAAGTGAAAAGGTTCTTTGACAAAAATGTTGTACATCAAACAAAAATAAACCCTTACGACTACTTTTTTACCAATTTACTCCAACACTCCTGACGCATACCAATTTGACACTCTCATTCAAAGCAGAAAAGGAGGACATAAACCATTCCTCATCTTCATAAATGTTAACACTCGTAAGCATATGCATATCCAATGAAAAATAAAGGAACTCGTGAAGTGTAAGAGTTTTACAAAAGTTTGTAGCAGAACATAACCCAAGTACTTTAACATCAGACCAAGACAGTGCATACCTCAGCAATGAAATCACAGATTTTCTCATTAAGCATAACATAACTCACTACACTACCGAAGACCATAACCATAACATACTCGGCATCATAAACCGCTTCATAAGGACTCTCAGAGATTTAAATCAAGAGCGAGACTTTACCGAAGAAACAATGAAACATTTTCTCGAAGTATATAATTCCTCAACACATTCTACAACAGGACATACACCAAATTCAATGACACAACAACAAGAAGAAAAGTATATACAAAAGAAACGAAGCCAAACACAAAATATCAGAAATTCAACACAATTTACCCTCATTCCTGGTACAAAAGTTCGTGTAGTTCTTGACGACAAACCGTTGACAAAGAAACGTTTAAGGTTAAGTCGAAATTATTATATCGTAGACTCTACGCAAGGTAATGGATATCTTATAAAAGCTGCTGACGACTCCATTACATTTTACCCTCGACATAAGTTAGTCGAAAGTAGTAATGGCAAACTTGCTGAAATCATTGACGAAGCAAAGCGAGGAGTGGTTATTAAAATACTTGGCTACAACATAAACGATGACACTTATAAAGTAAGATATGAAGGAGGCGTTGAAGATGTTATACCATCTAAGAACTTGAGAGAATCTAAACCAACTCATCTGGGACCATTAGAGCAGGAGTACTGGAAAGATAAAAATAAGCCAGAAAGAATAAGAAAATTCTTCTAAACTTTTTCATTAGATGTAAATCAGACATGAACGAGAACAGTCATGATATCATTAATGGTACCATTTATTTACACCAAAAAATATAATTTAGGTGAAGAGGTGAAATTTCACCTCTTTTTTCACCTGTTTTTTCACCCTCATGAATTTTCATGAATTTTATATATTAATGTTTTCGTTAAGCCACTTTGTGCCGTCAGTCAGTCAGTCAGTTTAGGAAAGACTTTAGAAAGTTGTTGGAAAATAAGTCCTGGGAAGAGTATTATAAGGCATTTTGTGAAGAATATAGCAACCGCCGGAATTCGGACTGTTGCTTTTTATACAAAATTCATGCAGGAAATTCTTGAGTTTTGGATGAAAGAATACGGTCGAGCCAAAAGTGGCTCAACCTCAAAACAAGCATTTTATGAGCTTACTAAGGGCGTTATAAATGAATTCAAAGGTATTTACATACATCCTGACCTCGTTCATTTTGTTGCTGAATTCAGCAAAAATAATGTTTAGGGTAGATGGTTAGATCTAACCCGATATCTAACCCGATTTCTACCCTCAACCGCTAAGCGGCGAGACCCAAAGGTCTTGAATTTTCATGAATTTCCTTAAGATAGAAAAAATAAAGTTAGTTTTATTTTTATTTATTTTTTTATTTTGTATAAAAGATATGATTTCAACAATCGGCACAACAACAATTCAAGCCGCGAACGGCGGGACTCTGTCCACAACTACAGCACCAAACTCGCTAGTCATGAATCCTACGTCAATGTTAGTAGAGATGAAAAACTTCATTCCTTCTTCATTTACTTTCGAAACAGAAATACAAAGAATAAAGCAGGAACTTTTAACAAGTAATTTAGACTGTAGTGCGAAAGATGAAACAAATGAACAGTATCTTTATGAAATGGAGGACCTCATCGACCATTTGCCTAAACTACCTGAAATTCAGCAGCAAAAACTAACTATTCCTGAATTCGACGAAATTGAAGTCAAAGCAACTGACTCAGTAGAAATAAAGAAGTTCATACGAAAGGTAAATTATGAGTTTCTAGGATATCATTGCAACCATAAAGTTATGGACAAAGATTGCGACATGGTATATAAGAACATCTCTGACATATATAAATCGGGGGGTTTAAGACATACGACAACTTTGTTTCATTAGTTGCAAAATGTGTATGGCAGATAAGAGATAAAGACAGAAGAGGTAAGGTATGGCATGAACAGATAAAACCAACTGCTTCAGATTTAAAGAAAACCATTGACGCCTTAGTTGTTTTAGCAGGTAAGGTTTCAGAATATAACGCAAAAATGAATCCGCAATGTTCTAAATGTAAAGCAGCAATGAGGAAATATAACTATTCAGTAAAAGAGATAGAACGTATGCGAAACGACTATGCTGACTTAAAGAGGGAGGCAGAGAAGCCGGTAGAAGATAAAATGGACATGTTACCATTTCTGAACAAAAACTATCCAACTGCTGACGATTTCCTTCTATCTGATGTCAAGAAGAAGTATAAAGAAACTTTCGGCATTGTTAAAATTTTTGATGTACTAAAAGAAGAAATTGAAGCTACGAAATTGTTTAGGATTTCAAATATACATCGTACAATTCATGTAAAACGCTTGTGAAAAAAGAGGTGAAAAATTAGGTGAAAAAAGAGGTGAAATCTCACCTCTTCACCTAAAATATATTTTTATTGAATTTGGCAACAAAATTCTGAGTAAAATAATTTTTAGGGCATGTGTCAAAGCGTTGAGTTTTCACAAAATTTAAAAAATAACGTATATCATGTGAAACTTTTATAAAATAACTGGGGTAGAAAAGAGGGTAGATATCGGGTTAGATCTAACCATCTACCCTAAAATATATTTTTCTTGAATTCAGCACAAAAATAATGAATTTCATTAGTTAGAAAAATAACGCTAATTTTATTTTTATTTATTTTTTTATTTTGTATGTAAAGACAGTAATGACAACATTAGAGAACACAACAACAGTTATAGTCCATGAAGCCATAAATGAAGAATACGAATACATACAATATAACAAACAACTTCGCCTCATTCGTTCGGTCAAAGACGATATGTACCAAATGCAAAGTATAATGAATGCTCTTCGTTCTACAAAGCAAGCATATCATTGGTTTGAAAACCAACAGACAAAAGAACTTTTAGAAGAATTTCCTCATATGATTGCTTCCCTCGGAAAACCGAGAGAAGAGATTCCGTACGAAAATCGCAAGAATTTGGCTCCTGGTTTGAAAGGTTATTATGTTCATAGACTTTTAGTAAATGCTGTAGCAATGTGGGCTTCACCTCGTTATGCTTGTTATATTTTCATGATGTTAGATGAACTATATAAAGCAGAACGTGAAGAGATGGAAAAGAAACTTCAAGCAAAAGATGAAGTCATTGAATCCAAAGACAAAAGCATACAGAAAAGAATACCGCGTTCGGTACCAAAAGGAAAGGAAAAGAACTATAAGTATATGATATATACTGAAAAGTTGGAGAAAGAAGAAGACAGTGACATGGTTATGTTGCATTTAGTGAGAAGAAACAACAAGAGCTTTTACGACTTAGCTAAGATATATAAATCTGACAGAAACTGGTTCTATCGTGAAAACTTACCGATTTCAATGACACCGAATGAGCAGATAAAGGAAATTGTCAAAAATACTCTTCCTCAAACACACTATGATATTAAAGGTTGTACAATACTTACATTCAAAGAAGACTTACCATTACTGAAGGAAAAAATAACAGAATATTTCGATAACTTCAAAGAGGAAGAATAAAAAAAATCTAAGCTAATTTTATTTTTTTTATAAAATTTTATCTCATATGAAAGAACATGAATTTAGAATATTCGGAACTCATGACAGAAGAAGAGAACGAACAACATGTAAAAGATTATGCAAAATTTCTGAAGACATACAAAGCATTTAAACAATATCTAAATGCTTCTAAAGATTATGCAAAATTTCTGAAGGTATATAAAGCTTATGAAAAAGCGTATGAAAAGTTTATACATTGGGGAATTGTTGTAAAATATCGATATGAAGACTAACCAAAAATATATTTTTGCTTAAATAACGTCAGGGTCTATTTCTTCAACCATTTCACTTCCTTCGTCAATGTCAATAGAAGCTTCTTCAACCTTTGGTAAGAATTTCTGTATAACATCTTTGTTCGTTATTGTCTTCAGAGATGAAGGATAATATTTCACATTTGTTTCACCTTTCTTATATTCTTTCTGTTCGGAAAGATTTAAAGCAATACTGAAGAAGTCAATGTTAGAGTTCTTTATGACAGTATAGTGTGTATCTTTGACATTCACGAAGAAACTCTTTTGTTTCAAAACTACTGCTAACTCTTGTGAAGTATACCGTTTGCGGTCAATGACGATAGCTAATGGTCTCACATACTGCCAAACTTAGATTCTTTCACAAACTTCTTGTTAAAGATAACATTAACGTTTGCAGCACCATTGAACTCATTCTTGATGGCATTAGCGAGAGCATTGTATGAAAAGAACTTGCAATCTTGCATGTGTTTCATTAAAATAAAAATATTAAATTATTTTGAAAAATAACTTTAAAAAATCTAATCTAATTTTTTCAAAAAATATTTTTTTTATTTCCTACTAAAGATGTATCGGAAGTTGTCTAAGTTAGAACACTCGGAAATAAAACAACTTCTAACAGAAGCTAACATAGAAGTAGCAAAACATTACGCAACAAACAAAAAAGCACTCGCTGACATCCTCAATGACTATAATGGTGCAATAAGTTATGATAGAATTCATGAGTTCATAAAGCCGCAACGCGGCGAGGACAAAGTCCATGCAAGAGCATTTCCTTTAAATGACATTGCTATTGACTTATATCATAGACGTTCAGTACCACATGAAGTAAGAAGAGAAATGTTTGACATAACAAATGCAAACGTTGGTAAAACACGAAAGAGAGACGACACACTGAAACAACAGAGAAGAGAGATGTTTAAAAGTGCTATAGAACAAGTTCGCAAAGCTAACGATGTCATTCGTTCCATTGACGACAAACCAAAAGAAGGTGAGAGATGGTTAAAGAAAGATGAAGAGAATAGAAGAGAAATGTGAAGTCAGGCAATAGACTCATTGACTTTAACATCGAAGCTTTAGATGAACCAAACAGAGACTACTTACACAAACATTTCGGTAAGGTTTTCATGAGACTCTTAGAGAAAATTAAAATAAAACTCACAACAGAGATGGATGGTATGTTATAAACTTGGTGGAAAGTATGAATGTTCTACGTTAAACCTCAATAATATTGGAACATTACTACATCAGCTCTTGAAGGAGAACTTTATATCAGAGATAGAAGCAAATGCTGCAGGTATTGTTGAAATGCACTATGACTTCTTCTTGACAAACATAAAGAATCTTACTGAAATAAAGATGTATGATTTAACAGAATATGAAGGCTTAATGATGTCAGATGTAAGAAAGGCAAACCAAAAAAGAGACCATATAGAGATGAAAGCACACTGACAAATGACCAGAAAAGCCATTTTGGAAGCTCTTAAGCAAACAGGAAACCCAGCACTTATAGAAAGCTTTTGGAAAGATAATGGTGAAAAGAAGTTTTATAAGAAGAGAAGCGGTCAGTTCTGGAAGTATCTTTGCACATTACCTATAAATCTTGAGCGCTACCAAATCTTCAATGAATTGAACAAAAGAACTGCAGCACTTATGACAGAGGACAATTGTTTCGTTTATGCTTGCATTCAGGCTGGAGTAGATGAAGAAACTATTGACCACATGAGAGAAGTCATTCGTGTTAGAGACTTTCCTCAAAGTAAAGTACAAGAAATTTCTGACGCAACAGGTATAGCATTTAATGTTACCATTGGTTATTTCAATGACTCAAGACATAATGAAATAAAGAGATACATACCAAAAGAATGTGAAACTGTTAGAACTATTGACTTACTTCTTGTTGAAGACCACTACATGCTAAACGAAAGATTACCAATGACAACATATTTCGTCAGAAATTACAAAGAAATTCTCAAAGCTTGTGGTGGAATGAACATTGAGAAACAAATGAAGATTTATACAAAGAGAGAAGATAAATATGTAGTTCGTTATGATAGAACAACACCATTATGGGATGTTATGAAAACATTGTGGGAGTGCAAATATTTCGAACCTATTTCTTATGGAGAACTTTTCACATATACTACTGACTTATATAAACAGAACCTTGCACCATTTAAAGACTTGTCATATGCTCCAAAGTATTGTGTACAACTGAAGAAGAAAGCCGAGTCAAAAGAAGTAAATAAAAATAAGTGCAAGTTCATTCCTGAGCACGTTTTCTTTGCTGACTTTGAGTGTAGCACAGACGGCTTTCATAAAGCTTTTAACATCTGTTATGACAGTGAAGATGGTTCAGTGAGTGAAAGCATTTGGGGTCAGAACTGTGCAACAGAATTTTTGGAGCGACTTCCTGACAAGAGTTTAATATATTTCCATAACCTCAGTTATGACATAAACTTCATCTTAAGACACATGACAGAAGTGAAAGGAACTCCCATCATTAAAGGTTCACGAACAATGCAAATAACTGGCTTATATAAAGGAAGGGCAATTATTATAAAAGACTCTTACAGTGTTATAAATAAGAAGCTTAAACTATTTCCTGCTATGTTTAACTTACAAACAGGACCGAAAGAAGTATTTCCATATAACTACCACAGCAGTGTTTTGTTAGCAAATGACAACAGAACTGGTGTCATTTCTGAAGCATGTAAGTTTATCCGGGATGCGGAGACGTTCATGAAAAACATAGATTCCATCAAAGGTTGCAGAATAGATGAGAACCACTTCGACTTAGAAAAGTATAGCACATTTTATTGCAAACAAGATGTAAGAATTTTAAGAGAAGGTTTTGTTAAGTTCCGCAATGACATATTGAAAGAATTTGATTTAAACGTTTATGACTACGTTAGTATTTGTTCAATTGCTAACAAATTATTTGAGAACAGAGTGTACTTCCCGAATGGAAATTTATATGACCTCTCAAATAAACCAAGAGAATTTATTTCACGCTGTATTCAAGGTGGAAGATGTATGCTGTCAGATAACATGAAACAAAAGAGTAAAGAGAAACTCATTGCTGATTTCGACGCTGTTTCATTATATCCATCAGCTATAGCAAGACTTTATACTTTAGAAGGAATTCCAAAGGTTATGAAGAAAGAAATGTTAAGCACAGAGTATCTCATGAGACATTTATTCGATGACGACCAAAAGGAACCCATTGGTGAAAAGTTTATGTCTGGCTTCTTTGTTCTCATTAAGATAACAGAGATTGGAATACAAAGACACTTTCCTTTAATAGTTTGTGACCCTGAACTAAATCCAGAACTTAACGTTCCCAGAAGTTCAAACACTTGCTGTTTAATGTATGTTGACCATATAACATTACAAGACCTCATAGAATATCAAGGTGTCAAATGTGAAGTGTTGCAAGGATACTATTACGATGGAAACAGAGATATTAGAATAAGAGATGAAGAAAAGAAGTTGTTTGAGTTAAGGTTAAAGTATAAGAAAGAAGGAAATCCTTTGCAAGAAAATATAAAGCTCATTCTGAACAGTATTTATGGCAAAACTATTCTATCTCCTATTGAGTCAAAAATAACCATAGTAAATGACAAAGATGCTATAAGATATGCCATTAGAAACTACAACCATATAGTGAAGTTCGAAGGTTTGGATGGTTCAGATAAAACTATTTTCAAGCTAACGAAAAGCATTTGCAGACACTTTAACTTCTGTCCACTTGGTGTTAACATTCTGTCAATGTCGAAGAGAATAATGAACGAAGTATTCTGTACTGCTGAAGATATGGGACTTCAAATCTTCTACCAGGACTGTGATAGCATGCATATTTTCAATGAAGACATACCAAAGCTTGCAGCAGAGTTTAAGAAGAGATACGGTAGAGAACTTATAGGAAAGAACCTTGGTCAATTTCATTCTGACTTCGCAGAAATAACACCTGGAAAACAAAGTTTAGCATACAAGTCAATATTTTGTGGAAAGAAGACCTACATAGACTTACTCACTAACGATTTAAATGAAGTTGCATTCCATACACGTTGCAAAGGTGTCAAACAAGATGTCCTTGCTTTAACAGCAAATGAAATGTTTCCTGAAGCTATACAATGCTATTACAATGAAGATAAGAACATTCACATACCTGTTGGAACATATGACAAAGACTCTGAGTTCAGTTTAATGAAACTTTACAAAGCACTTTATGACGGTCAAGAGATTGGGTTTGACTTATGTAAGTCTGCTACACCTGCATTTGAGGAAAAGTTTAACTTCTCAATAACGACTAAAACAAGCTTTATTCGTAAGTTGAAGTTCTGAGGTCATTTATTTTTGTCAGCAATGAGGTCATTCGTGATAAAAATAAGCCGCTAGCGGCAAGGGCGAAGCCCATGTGGTCATTTACAATACTGCGATGGTAGAGTTTAAGAGTTGTGCTTCAATGTAGAGACAGTCCTTATGGTCTGGAGGTAAGAACACTGGGCAGTTATGGTCATGAGTGGAGAACATGTCTATCCAAAACTCACGATTGAAGCCAGTTAATTTATAGTATTTAGGGTTAGGAAGTGGTGAAGTTCTTGTATGACCAATGAACTCATTTTCAACTCCCTTACTTAAGTTTGAATATAATATAGCTTGCTTTCTATCCCAAATGCCAGGTGTTACAATCTTTGAAAATTCATTTTTCCTCGGAAGCATTGCATCATAATTGAAAACATTTTTGAAGTCTTCATTGGGTTCAGAGATTTGAAATCTTATACGTAATGGATTTTCTTTCTCTTTAGCTACTTCATTGAATGGTGAATATATAACAAACTGACAGTCATGAGTTCCATCTTCATTTTCATTAAATTCATAATGAAAGTCTATAAGTTGTGGCTGACTACCTTCTTCTTTCAGTTGTGCAAGAAACTCACGTAAAGGCTGTAAAGTTTGTACTTCAATGTTGAACTTTTTCTCGAACATCTCATTAAATGAAATCATACATTGTTGCAATGTTGTATCGTCTTTAAAGTATTTGTATATGTGAATGTTTTGGGCGCTTAAAGACTGTTCGTCATTTTCTATCTCGACTTGAAGTATAAAGTCAACCTTTCTGAAAGCACGTGTTATATACATATTTGTTATGCCAATGTACTTCTCTTCATTTATGTTCACAATCCAGTCTGTTGGAAACTTAAACGTTACTCTGTTCCCCTTTATTTTGACGTCAGGGTTTTCACTACTGAACGCAACAGATAAAGGTATTTGTCTATACATTTAATTCGGATAAAAATAAACCATTTACTCTTTCTTTGCTTCAGCTTCTTTAGCTTTTGCTTCAGCTTCTTCTCTAGCTTTCTTCGCCAGCAAACGTGGGTTCTTTTGTCTTCCATCAGCTAATGCAGCAAGTTGTTTTTCACTAAGTTTTCTCTTTGGTCTCTCTGGCTTTTGTTCTTGTTTTTGTTCCTTCATTTCGGATAAAATTTGCTCACGAATTTCTTTCTTCAATGCTTCAACATCTATGACCCCTTGGGTCTTGTCCGTAGGGCTTGTCTGAGTCGTTTGACTGCAGATAAAAAACAAAATTAAAACTTTAACCGATGTAAAATGAGCTTGTCAAAATCAGAGCGAGAGTCTATTATATTAAATGACCCAGAGGAATACAACATCCTTTCTATTACGTAAGTCAGAGTAAAGATGGTAAAATATACGTAAGAAAAAGAAAGGTTCCATTAGCGAATGCAGAAAGCGACAACATTAAGGTGCATGGCACCGAGGGCGAAGCCCATATAAAACCTTCTATTCAAACTGAAAAGTCAATAGAACCAGAAGAAAAGAAGCCAGATGTACTTTCAATAACGAACCAAGAGCTTATTGCAAAGTTCGTGAATTTCATTGAAAAGCAAACCGAGTCAAAGAACCCTGACCCACCAGTGAAAGAAGTTGAGACAAAAGAGAATGTACAGTTCATTGAAAATGTCAAGAAACAACTTCCACCACGAATGCCAAGAAGAAGAGTGAGAATAATGAAGTAAATAGATATTTTTATCTGAAGTAAATACATGCAGAACGAACAGCTAAACGAATTTACTCCAGCAGAGCATATTCATCAGATTCGCTCATATTTCGATATCATAGACAATGCAGTTCAAATTGATGACACTAATAGAAAATATTCTGACGCAAAGATTCCATCACAACCTGGAACTGCTAAAGATAACACATGGGTAACATTCAATCTCTCACCTCCTGGTGAAAATATGTTGGACCTTTACAATACATTCATTACGTATAAAACGGAAGGTCAATTTATTGTAGATAAAGAAATTGGTTCAGGTTCCAATAAAACAAACCCACCAGGATTTTGGATTGGTTTCGATGACGCTTTCTATGCAGTTGCTGGATATCAAATCCTTGCAAATGGTCGTATCGTATATTCTCAAGACAACGCAAGAGAAGAAGCATATATAACTTCAAACTCACAAACTACCGAACAAATAAAGAAAGTAGATGTTTTCTCAAAGACTCGACATGAAGATGTATGGAGTCATTCGGGAACATGCAGAACAGGACAAATTGTTAGGAGATTGGGACAAAGTTGCAATTCGGCACTTTTTGTAAAAAAATGGGGTCATACTCATAATGAATAGAGACTTATAGCCAAGTCTTGATATCATGTAGGGAGAATATACATTGATAAGCAATTATATTTTATAGTAGTAGTATTCAGAAATTCTTACAATTTACAATACAATTTTCAAAAATGGATAAAGACTAATAGCCAAGTCTTGATATCATGCAGGGAGAATATACATTGATAAGCAATTATATTTTATAGTAGTAGTATTCAGAAATTCTTACAATTTACAATACAATTTTCAAAAATGGATAAAGACTAATAGCCAAGTCTTGATATCATGCAGGGAGACTCTCTACAAATACAAAAATTGATTATCATAAGGAAATACAAATTTATCAATTTTCATGTGAAAATTACATAAATTTGTTCTCCAATAAATAGCAATAATACTTTGAATGTTATATTAAGTAATATAGCTTCAGGTAAATAAGCTTACACTTCAAAAATATACTGTTTATTCATTAATTTTAAAAAAAGTCCAAATTATCTAATCTTGCTTACTCTTCCTTTAAACTTCTTTGTGCCAAATTTAATATTGCCTTCAAAGATGGAATAAGGACATTAGGTTCAATCCTTCGGCTTTCGACAATTTCCAAAATGTGTTGAATTAATTTCAAACATTCATCGTGTTTTGAAGCTCTTTGCTCAACAATCTGATTACCTGCCCTTGTAAGAATTCTTACTGCTCTTTCTTCATTCAAAACATTAGCGACTTGAACCTTAATAATCGCATTTGGAATCACAACAGTGATGAGAGTTATGACGATGTCATCAATGCGCTCATTTTTCTTACCAAGAAAAATGTTTGCTTTAATTGATGAAAGTGTGATTCCGCAATGTTATTCGTGGAATCACCTTCTCCACGATATAACATCATCCAATGTTCTTTGGTTCTTCTCCATTGTTTATCGAAATACTTCAAAGCGCGCGGTTCTTCTTCTTCTAACATTGTTGTCAAGAACTCATATGTTTCATCAGACTCTTCAGCCAGCTTTTCTGCATTCGTTACATCTGCACGTAATGTCAAAAAGTCCATTGCTAAATAGAAGTTCTCAAAATTCTGTGGATTGTCAAAATAGCTTCCAACTTTTGCACATGCGCGTAAAACATGCACAGCGCACCAACTGAGCTGCGCAAGAGGAAATCCGTCCTCAATTGCGCGAGCAATGTTTAGCGCACAGTCAGCGCTCCAATGCTGTGGATCCAGGTGCGCAAACTCACAGAATTCACCAAACATTCTTGAATTTTTTCAGATGTCTGAGGGTTCACTAAAAAATAGCAAAAGGGGAAAATTGTGTTTTGACTTGTTTTCATTGTTACTGCAAACAATTGGATCTTTCCTTTAATTAAAGAATGAGTGGAATCGACGTGGAGAGGGTTATCAATGCTATTCACCAATTCTTTTGCAACAAAAGGTGCATATATGATTGTAAACTCGGAAAAATCTCTATTGTAATCAAATTGAACGAGATCATCTGGGCACTCTTCCTGTAAATTATTCAAAAATGCTTCTAAAGAAGTGTAAGGATCGTTTGATAATCTTTGTGCAATAATCTCATCAAGGCGATAAAATTTGTGCTTTAAAGCATCAGTAGACTGCGCGAAAAGTTTCATCGTTTCTTTGTTATTCGTATCAATTCCGAACTTATCAAAAAATGCTTTTTGAGCAAGAAATTGCTTTCCACCGTTTTTAATATAAAGTTCGATCCATTTTTGATAAAATTTACTCGCGTAATGTGAACCCATTTCAACTCCTATATGATGGCAATGTTCTTCATTAACTTTGCTTATAGTAAACACTCCATTTTGTTCTTCAACCCTAAATTTTGCCTTGCATAGGGGATACGAACATGAATAAGTGACATATTGCTTTGGAGATCCCGTTCTTCTTCTGTATGGGACACCGCCCTTGACTTCCTGTTTAATACCAAAAGCAATAAGCTCCTCTAAGTCCACCGAAATCATAAAAATGAAGTGATTTTGAAAAGAGTTAACAAAATTCAAATCACATCAAAAACAAAAACACATAAAAATATTTTATTATACTCATTCGAAATTAAAAATAATAAAATTTATATATATTAATTTCATTAAATCAAGGTTAAAAATCTCACCGGAAAAATAACCTCAGTGTGATAAATTTATCACCGGAAAAATTTACAATAAGGTTAATACCGAAAATATCGAAAAATCAACATTTAAGGTTAATTTAAGAGTATGCACTTTTGTCACCTACTCAATTGTTAGTGGTCCAATTACAGCAGGAAAATCATTTGATTTTAAGCTTCGTTTAAGAATTCCTGTTAGAAGATTCCTTCCATTAGAAGCTATCCGATTTATTCCAGCTTTTGCAGGAAACATTCAGCTTAAAGTAAAGTTCAGTAGCGACGCCTTACAATGCACATCTATATCTGTAAATGATATCGTTGCTTTCAATCCAACTCTTAAAGTTGCATTTGCTTCAGATTCAAATCCACCGACAAATAAATTTGTTCCATGGAATGAACCATTCACTATGATAACGAAGGCAGTAGAAGCTAGTGGAACAGTTACTATTACAACTGTAACCCAGCAACTATTTCGAACAAAGATGGATTTTAATGAATGTTTCATTCATCCAAAGTCATTCTCTTTAGACCCTAACATTTATACAGAACTTGTAGAACATTATACAAACGAGGCTTTATGTTTTCCTGTTAAAGTTATGGATTGGATTCCTATGGACGGTTCATTCTCAAAGAATACAGATAGTTCAAGTGCAACATTTACAGCAGCTTATACGCCTATTAATGTTAAAAGTATTTGGGCACTATTTAGAAAGAAAGACAACTATTATGTTAATTTTGAGAACCCTAAGTTTAAATATCTTCAGCTTTCCATGGGAGCTTATGGAAATATGCCTGCAGAACCTGAAAAATCATATGGACCTGTATTTTATGAAATGGTTGCGAACGCTTGCAATACAAACAATGATATGATAGGATTTAATGAAGATGTTATGAGGTCATTGGTGGATGATGGTAGTGTGGAACATAAATGGGATAGCTATGACAACACACATTTCTTATGTGGTTTTCCAACAGAAGTGGACTTTTGCTTCATGCAGGGTCAAACATCTACTGCTCCAATAACATACAAATTGACTGTTAAAGGACCTATTGAACTAGCAACTGAAAATGTACCAAAGCCACTTATTGGATTTATGAGGGATTGTTGCTTTGCCATTCAGGTGCGTGCTAATGGAATCCCAATAATAAGATTAGATGACTATAACTTAGCCGCGGACGACAGTGAGGAATAAAGGATGAACGTTTATTTTTAAAGCTTATAAATGAGTTCTTCATCAAGCTCTCGTGAACCTTCACCATCTATGAAACAAACTTTACCAAACGATTATGGAGCACCTATTGAATATTTCTTACGAGCTGCACAATGGCAAAGAGCAGTCTCACCAAGGTTAGGTGTTCCACTAGCTCCTGTCAAAAATAGCATTTGGTCAAGTCCTTATATAAGATATGGTCTCCCATTAGGTTTGCTAGCTACAGCAGGAGCAGTTATGATGTTGAAAAGAAATAAAGCAAATGTTGTAAATAATACTGAAGTAGCTGAAGTTAAACAAACTCCAACACCTTCGCCAAAACCAACGCCTTCACAAGCAACGCCTTCAATGACTCCTGAACCTATGGAAGTACAAACTCCTGTTCAAAAGTCAACTCCTAAACCGACTCCAACATTTAAACCAGAACCTACTCCTCAAATAAATCGTAAAACTCCTGCGTTTCCTTACTGAAAAAATAACGTTATTTTTATTTAATATTAAAATTTTTATTTGATTGAAATGACAAATAAAGTCACTGAAGCAATGAAACAAAAGTTTTTGGTAGAATACATTAAATCAGGAACTATTCCAGAAGGTTTTTACATTCATACTATGAAGGATGGTAGAGTTCAGTTTAGAAAGATAAAGCAACCATTAGATAAAGAAGGAATTTTGAGAAAGATTAAACTTCATGAGGACAACATTGCTGAACTTAAGAAGAAGCTAGAAGAGTTGGATAAAGGAAGAGAGTTATAAAGCAATGAATTCAACAGGGTAGAAATCGGGTTAGTTATCGGGTTAGATCTAACCTTCTACCCTAAATTTATTTTTGTGCTATGTTTTCATACGTGTGAGGGTGGTGATATCATTAATTTTTAAGTTTATTTTTTATTTTATTTTTATTTTATTTTTATATAAATGACAGAACAAAAGCAACTCATACAAATCAAAACATATAACAAACATACATTTAAACATTTATTCTTCCTTCCTGAGTATAACATGTTCTTTACACTTCATCCTAGACCAGTTGACTATACACTGACTGTTTATAAAGATTGTCATGGTAGTTTTATAAAAACTTATGATGATGAAGGTAAGTTAACAAGACTATGCATTTCAAAACTTGAGAAACTTTATGACTTCAAGTATGACTACAATAGGGTTAACATTGACGATGAAGATATAGAAGAAAATTTATGAGAACGTTTATTTTTTCATTAGTGAGTTCGTTAGTGAGGTGAAATGGTTGGCGGCTTTGTAAATATTTAAGGTTAAGTTAGTGTTGTCGTTTGTGTTGTAAAATATACGTTAGCGGTTTTGTAAAGTGTCAAATTCACATATCATGGGTAAGTAGGTGCGCAGTGCCTCCGTACCCAACTAACCCATACTAACTCCATTATGTTTGTTGTCATAAACGCTCAAACTAACTTTACCCTTTCTCCCTCGTATCTGATAGAATGTATTTTCACGAGGAACGAAGAACAAATTCTTGAACTCATGACCGTTGTAGTTTGTTATCTCAATAGTTTTCGTCATTTATATAAAAATAAAATAAAAAATAAACTTTAAAAATAAATGATATCACCACCCTCACACGTATGAAAACATAGCACAAAAATAAATTTAGGGTAGAAGGGTATATCTAACCCGATTTCTAACCTCATTTCTACCCTGTTGAATTCATTGCTTTATAACTCTCTTCCTTGGTTTCTTTTTAGTTGCTTTCTTCACGTCTGTCTCCAACTTGACTGTCTTTCTTCTTCGGCCGTAATGATACCAGTTACTTCCACCAGTCAATGGGTCAAATGGTCTTTCGTAAGGGTTTCCATACATTCCATAGGGACCATACGGAAGAACTACTTGTGGAGAAGAAACATTTTCTTTAGTTCCATCGACTCTATTTAAATGCATTGTTTCACCTTTCATCTGGTCATTAAAGTCTTTTGCATGTTTTGCAAACTCATCGTCCTTTCCTAAAGCATTTTCTGACTCAGTCGCAACCAAATTGGATGCTTTATTTATGAGCCCTATTTTATTTAATCTTAACTTCTTTGCAACCCAGCCTCCAATCTTCCCTTTATTTGCATCTAATGTCTTCGAAACCCTTCCTCCACTCATTTTATTTACTGCGTCATAAGCTCCAAGTGCTTTTGCTCCAAATGCTAATGCTTTTGTTCCCATTGCGCCTAAAGCTGCCCAAGCTACCATTTACACCATATTAAAATCATCTCTCTTCAATATTATCTCATAAAAGTTCTCATTACTGGAGAAAGTCAATGAAACATAAACATTCTCACGGGCTTCGCCCTCACCGCTTTGCGGTCTATCTAACTTCTTTCTTACCTCATCTATTCGCTTCAAAATGTCTGAACAATTGCTAACATCTTCTACAACAGTTATTTCATCATGAATGACTTTCAAGAACAAGCTCATTTAATATGCTATTAAAATCATCTCAATAATGAGTCCATCCTTTCCGTCTTTGGGTAGCACAACATCTTTCATTGAAGAAGGTTCGCCAAGTCTTATGTTAAACTTACTGACAAAGTTTGTTATACTATAATGCTTCGGCGGCGAATACATATAGTTTGAAAGACATAATATAGATTCTTCAGCAAATTCACTTATACTGGATTTTATAACAATGTTTTCACGAGACCAAATACCACCAATTGACAATCTTGTAAGCAATCCTGCTGAACCTTCTACTGTAAACGTCGATGGTAACATTCCACGAAGGTCATCTATTGACATCGTTGAGTCACTGAATTTAAATATTTTCTTAAAGCAATCGTCATTATATAACCATGCAATAGCTTTGAAGTTTTCATTCGAATATACATCTGCTTCATTAAATGTAAAACCTGACTTCTTTGCAGAGACGACTTTAAAATCTATTGAGTTTGTTTCAAAATTATATGCTATGGTAACTTCTGAAGGTAATGGATGTCCTTCCGCAGTAAGTTGTTCTTCACTACCGTTTGAAGCTTTGTGTTAAAAACTTTCATGTCATCTCCTGTGTCTAGGTTCACATACACAGCAACAGGAAAACTATCTTGCTTCTTTTTGTTTCATCATTATACCTCAAAACATTAAAGTTTCTTCAATAATATTGTTCTTCCTGCTGGAATACTTCTAACTTGTCTTATTTCAATAGCTTTCTCACCTCCTACATACTCTACCCAGTGTCTTGGATATTCATAAGTATATACTGACTTTCTTGAATTTTGGTAGGTTTCATCATAACGTGTTCATAGTATATCTTTATACTCTTGTCAGTTAGACTCGGTGCTATGTTCTGAATATTTCTGACTTGCATTTTTAATGGAGATAAAATGAAGCATTTAATACATGACGTAGATGAAGACATGAATGAAAGCAGTGAAAAGCTCAACAGTTCTCTCATTCTTCCTTTCAGTAAGGACTATGAGTTCTGTTCAAATGGTGTTTATTTCTATTGTGGAAAGATGGGTTCAGGTAAGACATTTAATCTTCATTCGTCATTACTCATAACAGAGCGTTTAGGAAACGACTCTTACTATGACCAAATCATTATATCAGCAACTTCAGACTCTATGGACTCAACAGCGAAAACATTTATGAGTAAAGTTCAAGCATCTGTCGTTAAAGTTCCAGACAGTGAACTCATTGAATTTCTTCAACGTTACATTCGACGTAAGAGAAAATATTATGCCATCGTTGAATTTATACAGTCAGGAATGCAAAAGACTTCTGAGGAGATGGAAAGAATTATTGACAAACACCACTTACGTCAATACTCAGGAGTTTACGATATGAAACGACTTACAAACTACATTCTGTCAAAACTTTCAAAATACCCCTTCAAAAAATATCCTTCAAACACTCTGCTCGTTTGTGATGACTTCGCCGGAAAAGGTTTAGTTTCAAAGCCTGACTCACCATTAGCTAACATCATTACTAAAGTCAGACATTACCACTTAACTGTAGCAATACTTATGCAAACATGGAGGTTTTTAGCTTTAAACATAAAACGTCTCATAACTGACTTCGTTATCTTTCAAGGTTTCTCACGTTATGATATTGAACTCATTTGGAAACAGTCAGGTATAACATTACCTTTTGAAGAAATTTGGGAAGCATATAAGTCTCTCATCTCTCCTCGTTTATACCTTGAGATTCATATCATGACTAATACCATTAAAGTCAAAAATATTCCATGGGAACGACCAACATTGTTTTAAAGTTTAACCTTCAATTGACTGATGGTAAACAAATTCCATGCATCTCTGTCGCCATTTCTGTTAATATTTTTGCTGTCATTCATATCATCCACTTCCCCATCCGTTAGCTTTTGAGGATATGCGTTAGAATAGCTGTTCTTAAATGAAGGCTTTTCACCTTTGAGAGCATAAACTCTATAACTTTCTGCATACTTTATGTTTGAACCTCCTGAGCCATCATTGACATAAATTTTTATAGGCTTCCACCCTTTGTTCATGTTCCTGCTTCTTCCCTTAGCTCTTTTGTTCAGTAGTTCTACATCTTTATACACAGCACCTGTCTCAGTGAATTCAACAATATTTTCATTCGTTAGCTTTACATTCAAACCCTTGTCGAGTATATTGTTCATTTCATACATATAAAAGGTTTTTATTCTATATGAAATGAGAAGCAAATCCATCTTAGCTGGTGCCGTTAATGTTCCAATTGAACCAACATCAAATGTTGACTCACGAACGACAAACAATATTGTCATAAAGAACTATAGTTCGGAGTGTTTGAAAGAAAAAGAACCAGATCTTAAGTCGGTGAATTTAAACTCAGCTTCAAACGCTAACGCTACATCAGATGTTAAGTTAGAGTATCCACCTCCATTAGACCAAGTTCTTTCAAGAGAAGCCAACGACAACCCTTACACAAATGTTCAAACAAATCCTTCAGATAACGTAGACCATTACCTTCTTCAGTTATATCAAACTATCTTACTCAAAGACGATAAGAAACTTTTGACAAATCTTATAAGCAAGAACCAAATAATTCTAACAAAGGAGGACCTTGAAAATGTTATATCACGAATAACAGGAAAACAATGTGTCATTGACTATCTCGACCCTGAAATCGAATGCTGTGGTCAAACACCAATATTCATGAAAATAGGTAACATCCGCATCATTGAAACACCAGGTACTACAGGAGTTGAGTTTAAGTATAGATATTCGAACGAGTATACAAAACTATCTACTGACTATAAGCTTTGTTTGAAATATGTTTTAGTAAATTAAAGCAGTCAGTCAGTCAAAAAAAATTTCAAGTTAACAACTTATAGTATCTGTCCAAAACTTCTTCAACAGTATCGAACTCATCTTCATAATGCAGACCTAATCTTATTGACTTGGTGCAGTTTTCACTAACACAATATTTTTCTGTTCTCTTGACTGACATAACTAACTCATTTGTTTCATCAAACAGCAACAACCAAAGTTCATGACCTAATACATAACATTCATACTTTATATTTTTAGCTCTGAGTTCTCTTGTAAGCCGTCGCATTTAATATTTTCTAAAAAGTCAACTTCAACAGTCATTCGCACTGGTGCCTTCAGTTCTACAGGCTCTCCTTGAAAGTCAACAAGTCTGAATTGCATGTCTTTCAAATTATGAGGACTAATGCGAACCCATTTACCTAAATGAGTTGCTATGACAGGAACGTTTGGAATGAACATTGAATTTACTTCATAACAGAAAGACTTATATTCTACTGAACCTTTACTATTAACTCCTGAAATACCTGTGACATTAGCTATTTTTGACTCAATGTACAAACAATTGCCATAACATACGTATGGAACAGATTTCATCTCAATAACTCCACCAACGCTTTTTAAAGGAAATGTCATATGGTATGCACCCAAAAGAAGTTGTACTCTATGACTCATTCTTGGTATCTTAAACTCTTTCTCGCTGCTGAACTTCAATGTTCCCTCAGAAGAGAGTTCGACATCTATGTTGTCAATAGTTTCTTCATTTATGAGAGTATCTATGACTCCAGCAATTTTATCTATTCTGTACTCGGCTCTGTTAGGAAATGTTACAACACTTCTTTTGTCATCTATTTCAATCTCTATGAAATCTGTTTCATCTGTTATGACAAAAGTTGCGATAGTATTGAAGTCAACAACTCTGAAAGCAAGCGCTTCATTCTGAAGACCTAAGTTTGTTTGTAGCTTTACTGTCCCGTATTCGTTTGGGTCTGTACTTTGTAAATAGAACAACATTTTATTCTCATTAAAATATGACTATTGCTGCATATGCGTATGAAACAAATGAAGCAAGAAGAGCACATGAACTAGTAAATGAAAACTCAACTTTAACAGTGGAAGGCAATGATTTAGTCATTGACGATGGAAAAACTAAAAAAGTCATTGATTTCGATACTTTTAACACTTATGACCCATTCATTACAACAAGCAAGGTTCCCATCATAAATGATGGAACGGTGCAATATATAAATTCAACAGTAGATGCCTCATTAGTGAAAGTACTGAATGTTCTCATTGAATTGTTAAAGAGCTTCCGATTTGACGACAACATTAAATGCTTAACGAATTTAGTCATGAATGAGAAACAAATTCTCGGCGTTGCTGGTAGCAGTAATGATGTACACCTTATGACATTAGAATATTATAACGAACATAAAGATGAACTGAAAGGAGAGAAGGGTGACACTGGAGCTCAAGGACCACAAGGACCACAAGGACCTCAAGGCGAAAACGGTTTGGATGGTGAAGATGGAAAGGATGGAAAAACTGCTAAATCATGGATATGGAACCTTATAAATACTGGTTTAACAGCTGGTTCATATGGAGTTCTTCAATACCAAATCGGAAAGATATGGGCTGTACTTGGTGAAGAAGCTTTAGATGACGTCAAAGATGCTTTGAACTTCATTTCAAATGGTTCGGATACTATTAAAACTTTATCTGGTTGGATGCAAGAAACAAGGAGTCAAATAGATACTGTAAGACGTATAGCAAACAATGCACGTACGGGATTGGATACTTTACGAGAAGCACAAAATACACTAAAGGAAGCAAATGATATTCTTGGCTCAGTATCAGACATGCATGAAGATTGGCTTAAAGGTATTGACAAATCTTTAAAAAATCACAGTCAGTCTATTGCTGACTACAAGAAAAGTATAGATTTTTTACATAGTGCTATGGACGTACATGATGGAAGCATAAGGAACTTACTTAATGCTAACAATAACTTACCAGGAACTATTAAAGCATTTATAAAGTCCTTTGTAAAACCTGGTGCTCTAACATTTAGGTCTTTGAGAGCAAGAGCATTGAAGTCAAGAGATGCAGAAACTCCAACAGAACCTACAGAAGGAACTGAAACAACAGAAACTCCAGAAGAACCACCAAAACCAACAGCTAATGAAATATTGTTCGAATATTTTCCAAGGTACTCTGTTCTCATTGCATACATTCAAGAAATACTTAAGAAAGCTGACTTGACTTTAGGGATGATGAAAGTTCTGTATATCTTTCGTTCCAGTTTCAAATAGCAGAACTTTTGAGACAGATATGCTTAATGTATGACAACATCTCTGATTTCACAAGATATGACGACGACCATGACCCCGAACACGGTGAAGAAGAAGTTTTACAAACATCCATTAAGACAGGAAAGGTTTTAACTCAAAGTCTCATTATTGACACCGAAGATGGCGAAGTGGACGTTCTTCAAGAGCTGAAGAAAAATACTTCTTCGGGAGGTGGTGGTAGGCATGAACTTGAAATAAATGAGATAGAAGAGAAATTAGCCGAAAAAGCAGATAAAAACCATGTTCATTATATAAGTTCAGATGAACAGATTATAACGGACTACCATGGATATTTAACACGAACTGAAGAAAGAGTGAAGACAAAAGATGTTAATGAAAGAAGATATAAATACATTCGTGCTAAGGTTATGACATACGCTGTACTGTACAGTATGACACAGGTAAAGCACAAGAAGCATTTGGTTATAACGATGAAATTTATGCTTCATACTTCTTTGTTAACGGTGTATTAGTTGAACCAAGATTTATTTGAGAGTTAAGGCAAAAATAACTTTTGAAGATGCTATTAAAAGTAAAGCTGACAAAGATGAACTTGACGCAACGAACAAAGTTTTGAAATCGCATAAACACAATATCTCCGATATAAATGAACTTCAAGCTACATTAAATAGTAAAGCTGACAAGAACCATACACATGAATCCTTCACTACTGTTAGAGCAGATGACATAATATTGAACTATAACCTTGGCTCAAGCACACCATTAGAAAATCCAAGTACAAGCGTAAAAGATACTCTTAATAGTTTAGATAGTAAATGTATGAACATTGAAGGTCGTGTCAGAAACTTTGAAACATATGAACTACCAGCAATGTTAGATAAAAAAGCTGACAAAACTTATGTGGATGAAGAACTTGAAAAGAAAGCAAGCAGAGATGAACTTAGTTCGTATACTAGAGCAGAAGATATAGCAATAATTCAGAAAAGTATTGACAAAAAGGCTGACAAAAAACATTGGCATTATACAGTAAAAGGAGGTAAGGGAGTGCGCGTTGGTTCAGATTATTCTGAATATCTTGAAAGAACAAATGAAACTAAAGTCATTGACGGTATAACATATACACGTTTCAACAGAACTAAGACAGGAGTACATTATGGAGTTCATAGAGAAGATATTCGTGAAAGTTTTGAATGGAATGAAGAAATATGGTCAGCAACTGCTGAAATGGATATGGGTTTAAATCCGGAGTTTTTCATTCAAATCGTTGAAGTTAAAAACTATGAAGATATAATGGAGGACAAAGCTGACAAAACAGAGCTTCAAACATTAAAGACTGAAATACTTCAAACATTATATCCTATAGGCTCTATTTATACGTCAATGAACTCAACAAATCCAGCAAGTGTTTTAGGTTTTGGTACTTGGGAACAGATTGTAGACAAATTCTTATACTGTGCTAACTCTTCAAAGCAAACAGGAGGTCAAAGAAAATTACTGAAGCAAACTTACCTGCACACTCATACAGGAACTACAAACTTTTCTGGCGACCATAGCCACTCATTAAGAGACCACCCATTATACAACTCAGACTATGAAGCTGGCAATGAAGTTTTATCTCCATCTTATAACAATTCAGCAAAAAAGACTTTTCGACCAACTGAACCAGGAGGAAATCATGTCCATACTTTCACAACAAATCCAACAGGCTCGGGTGAAGATTATATGCCACCATTTATGACTGTATTCGCATGGTACCGTCTTGAATAAAATCTTTATTTTTACATAAATGAGTTTAAAAGAAGTATTCGAATCATCACCGTGGAGGTCATTTAAGAAGTTCAATGAAGCTGCAAAAAGTTGGGGATTTACTAACAGAGCTGAAGTTAAAAAGTTCTTTGACAAAAATGTTGTACATCAAACAAAAATAAACCCTTACGACTACTTTTTACCAATTTACTCCAACACTCCTGACGCATACCAATTTGACACTCTCATTCAAAGCAGAAAAGGAGGACATAAACCATTCCTCATCTTCATTAATGTTAACACTCGCAAAGCATATGCATATCCAATGAAATAAAGGAACTCGTGAAGTGTTAAGAGTTTTACAAAAGTTTGTAGCAGAACATAGCCCAAGTACTTTAACATCAGACCAAGACAGTGCATACCTCAGCAATGAAATCACAGATTTTCTCATTAAGCATAACATAACTCACTACACTACTGAAGACCATAACCATAACATACTCGGCATCATAAACCGCTTCATAAGAACGCTCAGAGATTTAAACAAGAGCGAGACTTTACCGAAGAAACAATGAAACATTTTCTCGAAGTATATAATTCCTCAACGCATTCTACAACAGGACATACACCAAATTCAATGACACAACAACAAGAAGAAAAGTATATACAAAAGAAACGAAGTCAAACACAAAATATCAGAAATTCAACACAATTTACTCTCATTCCTGGAACAAAAGTTCGTGTAGTTCTTGACGACAAACCGTTGACAAAGAAACGTTTAAGGTTAAGTCGAAATTATTATATCGTAGACTTACGCAAGGTAATGGATATCTTATAAAAGCTGCTGACGACTCTATTGCATTTTACCCGTCATAAATTAGTTGAAAGTAGTAATGGCAAACTTGCTGAAACCATTGACGAAGCGAAGCGAGGAGTGGTTATTGAAATACTTGGCTATAACACAAACGATGACACTTATAAAGTAAGATATGAAGGAGGCGTTGAAGATGTTATACCATCTAAGAACTTGAGAGAGTCAAAGCCAACACATCTGGGACCATTAGAGCGGGAGTATTGGAAAGACAAAAATATGCCAGAAAGAATAAGAAAATTCTTCTAAACTTTTTCATTAGATGTAAATCAGACATGAACGAGAACAGTCATGATATCATTAATGGTACCATTTATTTTAACATAAAGACGCAAAGCGGCGGGGCATAACCCATGACCAAAAATATATTTATGGTAGAAGGTTAGATCTAACCCGATATCTACCCTCATTTCTACCCTCATGAATTTTCATGAATTTTATATATTAATGTTTTCGTTTATGTTTTCGTAAATTTACACCAAAAATATATTTAGGGTAGAAGGTTAGATCTAACCCGATATCTACCCTCATTTCTACCCTCATGAATTTTCATGAATTTCCTTAAGATAGAAAAAATAAAGTTAGTTTTATTTTTATTTATTTTTTTATTTGGTATAAAAGATATGATTTCAACAATCGGCACAACAACAATTCAAGCCGCGAACGGCGGGACTCTGTCCACAACAACAGCACCAAACTCGTTAGTCATGAATCCTACGTCAATGTTAGTAGAGATGAAAAACTTCATTCCTTCTTCATTTACTTTCGAAACAGAAATACAAAAAATTAAGCAGGAACTTTTAACAAGTAATTTAGACTGTACCGCACAGGATGAAGAAAATGAAGAATATCTTTATGACATGCAGGACATTATTGACCATTTACCCAAATTGCCTGAAATCCAGCAACAAAAGCTCACTATTCCTGAATTCGATGAAATAGGAGTGAAACCAACTGACTCAGTAGAAATAAAGAAGTTCATACGTAAAGTAAACTATGAGTTTCTAGGATATCATTGCAACCACAAGATTATGGATAAAGACTGCGACATGATTTATAAAAACATTTCAGATATTTATAAATCTGAGGAATTTAAGACATACGATAACTTTGTTTCATTAGCTGCTAGATGTGTATGGCAGATAAGAGTAGAGATGTGAAAACTTAAATTTTATAATCCCTGGGATGCACTTTCTTCGATTTTTTTAAAATTTTTGGGATAAATTTTGACATCTTTTTTTTGCTGGCGACCCCCCGTTCACAAAAAAAATATCGAGCGAAGGGGGGTCGCCAGCAAAAATCGAAAATTTTTTTTGGTGAACGGGGGGTCGCCAGCGAGAACCTTAAAAATAAACTTCAGAAAAAAAATCTAAAAAGAAAAAAAGCGAAAAGGCCCTGGAGTCGAACTGGGGAACTTAAGGCTTATACTATGACTCTTACCACTGAACTATATTATCTGTGGATCGGTGCTTTATAAATTGTAAATATAAAGATTATCATAACGAATTAAAATGTAAAATAATAAATATTACTCTTATATATTATTAGATTTTAAATTACAAAATAATAATAACAAAAAAAATATTCATGACCGGAGGTTTTAATTAATGTTTAATGAAAGAGAACGATTCATTATAAATTATTGAATGTTAAATTGTTGTAAAAACACATTGAAATATTTGTGAAGAAAATGGCTATTTAATATTGAAAAATAAATAATAACAAAATGTTTATTTCATTTAGTTGCCATTAAGATATGACGGCTATTTAACAAGTTTTTCTTGGATCTTAACCGCCTAACGTTCAAAATTAACCTTTGTGCTTTGATATTACGTTCACATGTTGCCTCCGAAGGAGATGAACATAACAAGCGTAATGCTATTTCCGCAAGGATGGATTTTTCTCCAATTCTATGCGAGATCTCTTCCCAAGCATAATTTTGTGCCTCGTCCATCAGATCGTTCTCAAAGATGTCTGATTCCTTATTGATGAACGTATTATATAACGAGAGTACAAGCGTTTTTTGTCTTTCGTTCAATCGGAATTGAACCAAAATGCGCTTGAGGTAATCTTTAGCTGCTGTTAGATCATTTTCGGCAGTCTGATGATTATCCTCGCGTACATCTTGCAATGTAAGCCTAAGTTGATCATCAGATTCGACAATTCTACGAAATGTGCCTTCATCTGTTACATCAATTACAGCGTTTGTGTTACCTTCCTCAAAAATAGAATCCATGTAAATGTCCTGTAAATCTTCTGCCGGATCTTTATCAGGAATATGCTCACTTTGAAAGGAACTCAAGGGATCGGCCAAATCTTCTACTTCTTCGTTTTTAACAAACTTTCTATGGAAGTAGAACCTTCCTCTCGGCGTGAGAGAGAATGCCAAACACCATAGCCCACCAAAGTCAGAGTCCAAGGTATAGCTATCCAATGAAGATGCCAAGATGGATCCGAATGCATTATGCAAATTGGATGTCAAAAGATTGAGAGCTGATATGGCTTTACGAAGCCAAATGTAACAATTTGCCAACAATGCCTTATCCGATTCGAATACTAAGATTAGCTTTTTAAGAACAGCTAAACAATCTTTCAATTGTACGATTTTATCGTGATCTACATTTATATATTGCTTGATTTTGTTTTCGTACTTAAGAATAAAGACACATATATTATAGTCATATATCCATCTGGTGGATACATGCTGTGGACATTGTGCACCTATATCGTCAGCATGAATGCGACAAAGTTCTGCAATTCTGTGCACATCCTTTACTAAACTTTGTAACTGGTTGTTCTTGCCAGCAATATATTGATAGCTGTTGTGGATTCTGTGACACAAACAGGGAATAAGCAATATCTTGTAGTATTTTGGATCTCTGTCATGATAGAATGAATCATTCCAAGTATCTTTGAAGCATTTTAACTGTGCTGGTCCTCCGTCAACTACCACACTACCTATCTTGACTTTCCTAATGTCAATTCTGTTAAATCCTGCTGTTATTGCGGATTTATAATCCTGACTTGTCTGGCCATCCTTCATATCTATCGCCTCTACTGGGTATGGCTTCATTTGCTCCAACGGATTTGTTAAGACAAAATCAAGATTGTGGTAATCATGTGTCTTGCCTTCATCGATGGCGACACAAGTGTATGCTTTTTTGGCGAATTCGAGAACTTTAGCAAGGTGTATGCTGTTAGCAATAGCAATCATTCTATTTCGGATCTCATCACGTGTAATAGGCTTATATAATTTGTCAGCAAGTTTTTCCGGATTGATATTAGCTGACTGAAGTTGTTTGTATTTGTTCATCATTTGATATATTGTGAACATAATGAAAATCTTTGCAACATGCGTGAATTCTGGGGATGCAAATGTGTCTAAGGCAAGGTTGAACTTACCGGTAAAAATGGTCATTTCATCGTATACATTCGATAAATCCAACATTGGATCATTTGGCTGTTTACCTTTATTGTAGTAGTCAAGTAATGTTTGCTGCGATAATGCTTCTCCGGCCTGGCATGTGTGAACATGAGTCTTAAGACAGTTTTTATAATGATCCTCCCTTTGTTCTTGCATTGAACACCGGCAAACTACGCCATCAGATCGTGTCACAAGTTCATTGCATTTTACATACCACTTGGGACTACCTTCATGTTTATATCGCATGTAAACATGTTGTTTCGTTTCAAGATCGAGATATGTTTTGAACCCGACTTCTTTCATTAATGAAGTGATTTCTTAAGTTGAATAAAAACAAATTTGATTGAAATTCATACAAAATTTCTTTTTATCATTATTATTTAAGATGCTTTTTTATGTTGAATTGTTAATTTTTTTATTTCCACCCGGGATATTTTGAATTGGGCTAGCCCAATCCCACCTCTCAGTTTTCTCTCAATTGGGCAATGGGGATCCCATATAAAATGTATTGTAACAAAATTTTACATGCATAATATAGTACAATTAAACAACATTCTAAAAATATTAAATTCACATCATTTACTTGAAGATTTTATATTTTCAACAAAAATTAATACAATGATTACATTAAATTGAGGAGATTTATAATATTTATTATAAATTAAAATATTATTACTCATTAATTTGTTGAAATATTGCATTTTAGTGGTAAAAATTAAAATTTAAGTTTACATGGAGAAAAAAATTTTTAAATTCCAAAAAAAATTCAATTGGGATAACGATAGGGACAAAAATTTAGAATCCCCATATGCTTGGGATAAAATCACATGACTAGATAAGAGATAAAGACAGAAGAGGTAAAGTATGGCATGAACAGATAAAACCAGCAGCTTTTGAGTTAAAGAAAACCATTGACGCTTTAGTTATTTTAGCAGGTAAGGTTTCAGAATATAACGCAAAAATGAATCCTCAGTGTTCGAAATGTAAAGCAGCAATTAGGAAATATAACTATTCAGTAAAAGAGATAGAAAGAATGAGAAACGATTACGCAGACTTAAAGAAAGCAGCAGAGAAGCCGGTAGAAAATAAAATGAACATGTTAGAATTTCTGAATAAAAACTATCCCACAGCCGATGATTTCCTTTTATCTGATGTCAAGAAGAAGTATAAAGAAACCTTCGGCATTGTTAAAACTTTTGATATATTAACTGAAGAAATAGAAGCTACAAAATTATTCAGAATTTCACGAATTCATAACGTATATCATGTGAAACGTTTATAAATAATGAGGGTAGAAATGAGGGTAGATATCGGGTTAGATCTAACCTTCTACCCTAAATATATAGGGTGTCCAAAGGTGCGTTTAGCACAGCGCTCTATATGAGACTATTAAAGGAGATATATGCTGATTATAAATATATAATAAAAAATATGAATATATGTATATGATGAGTATGTTGTATTTTGGCGCCATGCCGGGATATAAAATGAATTTTGAGACAAGAGGCGGTTTCGCGGGAAATTTGGGCGGGATTTTTTTCATTTTTTTAATGAATCATAAAGAAAACATCCTCGCTCTTGCAAAAAAATGCAAAGACTGTAAAAAAATCTACGAGACATTGGTAAAATGCTTCGGTATGGATGCTCCTAGCTATTCCACTGTAACGTATCATGTTAGGATGTATCACTTCATGAACAAAAAGGCGACCATCATAAAATTGACAAAAAATCGCCGGATCAAAGAAAAATCAAAGCAATTCTTCAAGCGCTAGATGAAGACCCAAGAGCATCACTCAGAAGGATAGAGGAGATGACACAGATACCACGTACAACAGTCAGTTATTATCTGCACAATTATTTGAACTACAAACTAGCGTATACACGTTGGGTTCCGCACAACCTTAATTCAGTTCAAAAAAAATCTAGAGTCCAATCTTCGAAAGAGCTCCTCTCTATATTGCGTGCGTATCAATCCAAGAAGTTTCGCTTTTTAGTAACAGGGGACGAGTCTTGGTTTCAATATGCAACAGAAGCCAAAATCATGTGGATCCCGAAGGATGAAAATCCGCAAACATTCCCGAAGAAAAAAATTGACACACCAATGATGATGTTGTCGGTTTTTTGGGGCGTGAATGGCATCATCACAATTGATATTCTTCAAAAACCTAATACGATGAATGCTCAGTATCTAATTGACAATGTTCTTACTCAAATTATCAATTCTGATGAGTTTGAGAAATCCAAACAACAAAAACAAAAGTTTGCAATTCATTTTGATAATTCAAGAGTTCACAAAAGTCATAAGGTAATGAATTACTTGGTGGAAAACAATGTCAAAGTTGTTCCAAACCCAATTTATTCACCTGATATTGCACCCTCTGACTTTTATTTATTCGGCACGCTAAAAAAGAGAGCTGAAGGACGCGAATTCGCGAGTCCAGATGATCTTGAAAATTTTGTAAGAGAGCAATTTGAGCAATTTTCTCATGATGATTTAAAGCGTGTCTTTCAAGCCTGGATCGATCGCTGCGAACGCGTGATTGAATCCAATGGTGATTATATTTAAATAAACTTTATATATATGTAACTTGTTTATTTCTATTCGCAGTATTCAGGTTTGTGCTAAACACACCTTTGGACACCCTATATTTTTGGTGTAAATTTTACTGACTGACTGACGGCACAAAGTGGCTTAACGAAAACATTAATATATAAAATTCATGAAAATTCATGAAAATTCATGAAAATTCATGAAAATTCATGAGGGTAGAAATGAGGGTAGATATCGGGTTAGATCTAACCTTCTACCCTAAATATAATGAATTTCATTAGTTAGAAAAATAAAGTTAGTTTTATTTTTATTTATTTTTTTATTTTGTATGTAAGAACAGAAATGTCAGTCGAAGCAAAAACATTCACTAACAAATCTAATGGCGAAACATTCACAAAAGGCACTTATAACGGTATTGAAGTCTTACGTAGAGACAAGGATGGTTACATTAATGCAACAAAGATGGCAAGAGAAGCAGGAAAGTTAAACCATTTAAACAGATTTCTCAATAGTGCTAAAATGCAGGAAATTCTTGAGTTTTGGTTGAAAGAATACGGTCAAGCCAAAAGTGGCTTGACCTCAAAACAAGCATTTTATGAGCTTACTAAGGGTGTTATAAATGAATTCAAAGGTATTTACATACATCCTGACCTCGTTCATTTTGTTGCTGAATGGTGCTCTGTAAAATATGCATTTTATGTCAAAGATATTATGGACTCCATAGACAAGAAAGTTCATGAGAAATTAGATGAAGAAGAACTTGAAGATACAGTAGAGAATGCTAAACCTTTGTTCGAACAAGAAGTTAGAAAAATGTGCGAAAAACAATTAGAACATGAACGTGAGATATGTTATGGTTATAGAGATTCTCCATACGAACTAGACCAATGGGAACAAGAAGATTTAAAGAGAGAATTTAGAGAATATGAACTCGCTAAGATAGCATTAGAAGCTGCAGAAAAGAAGTTAAAAGTTTGGGGTCGTTTTGTACAAAAATATTGTGAGTAAATAAACCATTTATTTTTGTCATAAATGACCAAAAAATAATGTTTATGTTAGAATGTTAGATCTAACACGTTTTCTAACCTCTTTTATAACATGGTCTAAAACTCTCGAAAATCATGAATTTTTAACATTTCTTTAACACAGAAAAATAAAGTTAGTTTTTATTTTTTCGAATTTTTTATCTTGTATGTAAGAAACAGAAATGTCAACATCAGAGAACACAACAACTGCTATCGTTCATGAAGCCATTAATGAAGAATACGAATACATACAATATAATACACAACTTCGTCTCATTCATTCAGTCAAAGATGACATGTACCAAATGCAAAGTATAATGAATGCTCTTCGTTCTACAAAGCAAGCATATCATTGGTTTGAAAACCAACAGACAAAAGAACTTTTAGAAGAATTTCCTCATATGATTGCTTCCCTCGGAAAACCGGGGGAAGAGATTCCGTATGAAAATCGCAAGAATTTGGCTCCTGGTTTGAAAGGTTATTATGTTCATAGACTTTTAGTAAATGCTGTAGCAATGTGGGCTTCACCTCGTTATGCTTGTTATATTTTCATGATATTAGATGAACTATATAAAGCAGAACGTGAAGAGATGGAAAAGAAACTTCAAGCAAAAGATGAAGTCATTGAATCCAAAGACAAAAGCATACAGAAAAGAATACCGCGTTCAGTACCAAAAGGAAAGGAAAAGAGTTATAAGTATATGATATATACTGAAGAGTTGGAGAAAGAAGAAGACAGAGATATGGTTATGTTGCATTTAGTGAGAAGAAACAACAAGAGCTTTTATGACTTAGCTAAGATATATAAATCTGACAGAAACTGGTTCTATCGTGAAAACTTACCGATTTCAATGACACCGAATGAGCAAATAAAGGAAATAGTTCAAGACACACTTCCTCAAACACACTATGACATCAAAGGTTGTACAATACTTACATTCAAAGAAGACTTAACATTACTGAAGGAAAAAATAACAGAATATTTTGATAACTTCAAAGAGGACGAATAAAAAAAATCTAAGCTAATTTTATTTTTTTATAAAATTTTATCTCATATGAAAGAACATGAATTTAGAATATTCGGAACTCATGACAGAAGAAGAGAACGAACAACATGTAAAAGATTATGCAAAATTTCTGAAGACATACAAAGCATTTAAACAATATCTAAATGCTTCTAAAGATTATGCAAAATTTCTGAAGGTATATAAAGCTTATGAAAAAGCGTATGAAAAGTTTATACATTGGGGAATTGTTGTAAAATATCGATATGAAGACTAACCAAAAATATATTTTTGCTTAAATGACGTCAGAGTCAATTTCTTCAATCATTTCACTTCCTTCGTCAATGTCAATAGAAGCTTCTTCAACCTTTGGTAAGAACTTTTGTATAACATTTTTGTTCGTTATTGTTTTCAGAGATGAAGGATAATATTTCACATTTGTTTCACCTTTCTTATATTCTTTCTGTTCGGAAAGATTCATAGCAATACTGAAGGAGTCAATGTTAGAGTTCTTTATGACAGTATAGTGTGTATCTTTGACATTCACGAAGAAACTCTTTTGTTTCAAAACTACTGCTAACTCTTGTGAAGTATAACGTTTGCGGTCAATGACGATAGCTAATGGTCTGACATACTGACCGAACTTAGATTCTTTCACAAACTTCTTGTTAAAGATAAAATTAACATTTGAAGCACCATTGAACTCATTCTTGATGGCATTAGCGAGAGCATTGTATGAAAAGAACTTGCAATCTTGCATGTGTTTCATTAAAATAAAAATATTAAATTATTTTGAAAAATAACTTAAAAAAAATCTAATCTAATTTTTTCAAAAAATATTTTTTTATTTCCTACTAAAGATGTATCGGAAGTTGTCTAAGTTAGAACACTCGGAAATAAAACAACTTCTTACAGAAGCTAACATAGATGTTGCAATTCATTACGCGACAAACAAAAAAGCACTCGCTGACTTCATTAAAGACTACAATGGTGAAATAACTTATGATAGAATTCATGAGTTCATAAAGCCGCAACGCGGCGAGGACGAAGTCCATGCAAGAGCATTTCCTTTAAATGACGTTGCTATTGACTTATATCATAGACGTTCAGTACCACATGAAGTAAGAAGAGAAATGTTTGACATAACAAATGCAAACGTTGGTCATACTCGTAAAGCTCTTTCTCATGACGTTCGTCAAGAGATGTTTGAACTTACGAACTCAAACGTTGGTGAAACAAGAAGAGCTGTACCTCATGAAGTAAGAAGAGAAATGTATGACATAACAAATGCAAACGTTGGTGAAACAAGAAGAAGAGACGACACACTGAAACAACAGAGAAGAGAGATGTTTAAAAGTGCTATAGAACAAGTTCGCAAAGCTAATGATGTCATTCGTTCCATTGACGACAAACCAAAAGAAGGTGAGAGATGGTTAAAGAAAGATGAAGAGAATAGGAAGAGAAATGTGAAGTCAGGCAATAGACTCATTGACTTTAACATCGAAGCTTTAGATGAACCAAACAGAGACTACTTACACAAACATTTCGGTAAGGTTTTCATGAGACTCTTAGAGAAAATTAAAATAAACTCACAACAGAGATGGATGGTATGTTATAAACTTGGTGGAAAGTATGAATATTCTACGTTAAACCTCAATAATATTGGAACATTACTACATCAGCTCTTGAAGGAGAACTTTAT